CTATCATCAGGAAGGGCAAGCTCAAGCTCGTCTACCCAGTCAGAGAATAGCTGCTGTGTGGAGTGTCCTGTCTGTGAGAGGTTTGTGTGTGTTGACTGTGGTGTTCCTTGGCATTCTTCTATGAGCTGTGAAGAGTTTCAGATTCTTCCGGTTGATGAAAGATATCCAGATGATATTACATTGCATCGCTTGGCAAGGTATAAGAGGTGGAGACGATGTCAGCAATGCCGTATAATGATCGAGCTTGCTCAAGGCTGCAACCACATGACTTGCCGGTAAGACACACATATATATACCTATAGCTACACATTGTTTTCCGTTTCTATCAATAATCAGAACCACCAAAGTTTGGTTCTTGGCTTCCTATCAAATATAATTAGCTTGAATACTTTCATTAATTACCATATCATTCTTTCTAGTGACCCTTGAACCGCATAATCGCAGTATCATATGATCTCAGGGTTGTTTTGGTTGCTATGTTTAAATCTTGTATTCTTGAGAAAATATTGTTTTGCTTTCTGATTCTTTCTCTATAAATGTTGAAAAATCTGTGTTTTTTGCAGGTGCGGGCACGAGTTTTGCTACTCGTGTGGAGCAGAGTACAGAGAAGGGCAACAGACTTGCACTTGTGCTTTTTGGGACGATGACGAAGAAGATCAAGAAAACTCAGTTGAGGAAAACAGAATCCAAGAAGTTGAGCAATGGCCTTGGGACACATTTAACTCAATTCCAACTGTAATGGACGCTTACTCAGAGCAAGAAAGATCTCAGCTTGCTTTGATCCAAAGGTTCTTAGCAGGTGGAGGGTTTAGTCTCAGTGATCACCATACTTCTTATCAGTCACCGCCGCCTCCATGTACAGAGTCATCCTATGTTGCAGCCGCCATGAAAGATCTTCATCAGCTTCCTTGGCTTGAGAGGTTTGTGTCTGTTATAAGTGATGATTACTATGAAGAGTATAATAGCCAGTGAAAGGAGTAGAATGGTAATTTAATAGCTTTGAGGATTCGGTTTGGTTTGGTTCGGCGAAGCCAAACGAGAGTATCTCGCTCTCAAAAGAAATTGATGGGGGGTTTTTAGATTCTTGATGAACTCAAACAACGAATTGTGATGAAACTATTTGCAATTATAAAAAGAAGAGTTTGATCATATGTTCTTATATTTGGTGTTGTGCCGTTTAACGTAAAGGCTATATATACTCTTAAGGATGAGATGGAGAGAAGAGACAGAGTGCAGTTGTTTAGAACTTATATTACCATGTCAAAGCAATGGTTCATATGTTGACTCATCAAATAGTAGCGACAAGAAATTGTTCGAACTGACATCACAGAACCTTCCTACAAATCTCCTTATTGTTGCGCCTTTCAATCTCAATCTCAACACACCAAATCATCTTCTTCTTAGTACTAGAACCAATAGAATGCACATTCTCCTCCCATAAAACCACACAATCTTTACACCACAATTCTCAAATCTAACACAACCATCATAATGCTTTATCAGTTTAGGACATTCTTCCAAACCCTTCAAAGCTCCCGAGGATTTTCGCTCAGAGTCGTACCATTCGATCAATCTAGACAACGAACCGACCGAACCGAATAGGATTTTTCAAAAACCAAAAAACCGAGAAAACTAAACCGTTTTAACCGAATAAACCGAATTCGCAGGCCTAGTTCTCTTTGTAACCTCAGCAAATTATTTTTAGTAGAATCAATAAACATATATTAAAAAAAAACATTTGTCTTTCAAGAACTAATCAAAATTAATTTTTAACAAAAAAAACTAAGCAAAATGAATTTGGGTATCATCATATATACCAACTACCAAGAAAAAAAGAAGTTTGATATATTCAATTATTAATGCTCTTCAAATAAAATACAGCAACCTTCAAATATACAAATACATGTATCTTGAGCTTTTGTGTAGACATAACCCATTAAAAAGGGTCCACTTATCAATCTACTTTGCATTTTTGTGTATATTTTTCAAAGCTGACGTTATTTAAGACGTCATCGACCCACTTCACCCCAACTCAAGTCGTCTTCAATTGCTGACGACATTGCTTACGATTTTTGCATCGTCGTCACAAAATTTAGGAGATTGAATTGGCTCTTTCTTTACTCTTCTCCAAAGACTTTACTACTCTTTTGGTCAGTCTTCTTATTTCTTACCTTTAGCTTTAGATAACCTCTGATTTTTTCTCCTATTCATTTGTTCTGAGATCGTCGTCTTTATTCTTTCTCCGACTTAAAATCATTTTCATTTGTGCAATGATTTTGAAGACTACCCATTAATTCACTTCTTTCTCTTATGATTCAAGATTCTTCAATTAGTTTTTTTTCTCATCCGCCATTTTCGTTGACTTTTTGAAGCATTTCTCCAATTGAGTTTGTTCTTCACATTCGAAACCTTGAATGTTCTTTCATAAAGTTCGGATCTTTTCTTCAGGGCTTGATTAATTTCACACCTATGATCTTCTCTGTATTGTTTTTGATCCAATTACTGCTCAAAATTGATTCTTGTCATTGGATTTAGATTTAGGGTTTTTGTATCCCTAGGGATTTGAAGATCAAAAACAGAGTCTTTGAGTGATAGATATTTCTGGGGAAAAAATGGCTGCAACTGCAATGGAGCCATCTTCATCTATAAGTTTCACATCTTCTCACTTATCAAATCCTTCTCCTGTTGTTACTACTTATCAGTCAGCTGCTTATCTTGAAGAGCTCAGCTCTAACTTGGAGCAGCTTCTCACTAACCCAGATTGCGATTATACTGACGCAGAGATCATTATTGAAGATGAGGCTCACCCTGTGAGTGTTCATAGATGTGTTTTAGCTGCTAGGAGCAAGTTTTTTCTTGATCTGTTCAAGAAAGATAAAGATAGTAGTGCAAAGAGTGAGAAGAAACCAAAGTATCGAATGAAAGATTTGTTGCCTTATGGAAATGTGGGACGCGAGGCGTTTCTGCATTTCTTGAACTATATCTACACTGGGAGGTTGAAGTCTTTTCCTATCGAGGTTTCGACTTGTGTTGATTCAGTTTGTGCTCATGATTCCTGTAAACCGGCTATTGATTTTGCTGTTGAGTTGATGTATGCTTCGTTTGTGTTCCAAATCCCGGACCTGGTTTCATCATTTCAGGTTTGAGATTAAGTTTCTTTGTGATTTTGCTGGTAAATAATCTGTTCTTGTTTCGTCAAGGCTCTAATGTTGTGTGTTTGTGTGTCTGCAGCGGAAGCTTTGTAGCTATGTTGGGAAGTCACTAGTTGAGAATGTTCTTCCGATCCTCTTAGTTGCGTTTCATTGTGATTTGACGCAGCTTCTTGATCAATGCATAGAGAGAGTGGCTAGATCAGATTTAGACAGATTCTGCATTGAAAAGGAGCTTCCTTTCGAAGTATCGGAAAAAATCAAACAGCTTCGAGTTAAGTCGGTGAACATACCTGAGGAGGTGGATAAATCGTTAGAGAGAACCGGGAAAGTACTCAAGGCATTGGATTCAGATGATGTGGAACTCGTGAAGCTTCTATTGACTGAGTCAGATATAACTCTAGACCAAGCCAATGGTCTGCATTATGCAGTGGCTTACAGTGATCCGAAAGTTGTGACCCAGGTTCTTGATCTAAATATGGCTGATGTTAATTTCAGAAATTCCAGAGGGTATACAGTTCTTCATATTGCTGCTATGCGTAGAGAGCCAACAATTATCATACCACTTATTCAAAAAGGAGCTCATGCTTCGGATTTCACGTTTGACGGACGCAGTGCGGTTAATATATGTAGGAGACTCACTAGGCCAAAAGATTATCATAGCAAAACCTCAAGGAAAGAACCTAGTAAAGACCGCTTATGCATCGATATCTTGGAAAGGGAAATTAGAAGGAATCCATTGGTTAGTGGGGATACACCCACTTGTTCCCATTCCATGCCTGAGGATCTCCAAATGAGGTTGTTATACTTAGAAAAGCGAGGTATTGACCCACTCGATATTATATCTCATAGCTTAAGGTTGATGACTCTTAGTAAAATTCTGGATTTTTCTTGTATGTGTTATTGCAGTGGGTCTTGCTCAGTTGTTCTTCCCAGCAGAAGCTAATGTGGCCATGGACGTTGCTAATGTTGAAGGGACAAGCGAGTGCACAGGTCTTTTAACTCCACCTCCATCAAATGGTACAACCGGAAACTTGGGTAAAGTCGATTTAAATGAAACGCCTTATGTGCAAACGAAAAGAATGCTTACACGTATGGAAGCCCTCATGAAAACAGGTAAAAGCATAAGGAAATTTACTTTCAGGTTATATAATCTCTGAACGCGAGATTGATTGATTCAAAACCGTTCAACAACGCAGTTGAGACAGGTCGGAGGTATTTCCCGTCTTGTTCTGAGGTTCTTGATAAGCACATGGATGAGTATATGGACGAAGACATCCCTGATATGTCGCATCCCGAGAAAGGCACTGTGAAAGAGAGAAGACAGAAGAGAATGAGATATAACGAGCTGAAGAATGACGTTAAAAAAGCGTATAGCAAAGACAAAGAGGCCAAGATTGCGCGGTCTTGTCTTTCTTCTTCATCACCAGCTTCTTCTCTTAGAGAAGCCTTAGAAAACACAACATAATCTGTCTTATATAAGTAATACTAGAGATAGTTCCTTGGAGGAAATTAGCTATTTTATAGGTTGAGTTAGAAAAGATTGGAGACCCCATTTTGGTTTTTAGTTTTATACACATGGTTTAGGTTTGATTTGTAGTAAAGGTTTGAAAATGTATAAAGCAAAACTAGGATGCTCTTTAAACCCAAAACCTTCCAACCACTTAAAACCCTTTTGCTCTGCTTCTTTACTCAAAAAATTGTAATATATGGAAGTGAAGACATTACACAACACAAGTTACAAATTTTGATATTTTAGTTGCTATTAGCAGCAACCTGTAACACATTCTTTAATGTTAACCCGGCTTTTTAACCGGTTCTTAACCACTAATCTGACCGAATCATAACTGCATCCGACCTGACCCACCCGACCTGACCCGACCCGGAACTAGTCAATTCGACCCGTTTTTAAAAAAAAACCTAATTCAATTTTTGTAGGTGAAGAAAAGCTTCTTCATCTTCTCTCACAAGGCACACAAGGAGCCATAAACCTTTCTCTTGCATTCTTCTGTTCAATTTCGTATTTTTTTGCATTGTGTAAAACCATGAATCGCGAAGGCCTGTACGAGGTTGACGATGATGATGACGATGACGACGACGATATCGGTGAAGATCTCGAAGAATTAAGACGAGCCTTTATCGTCACTGAGGCCAAAGGGTTGCCGTCGGATTCAGAGAATGACGAAGAAGATGATTTGGAGATGCTTCGGAGCATTAAGAGTCAATTAGCTTCGTCGACGACGAATGTGGGTTTATCAGTGCCCTCGGATTCGGAGAGTGAAAACCATTTTGAAATGCTTCGGAGCATTAAGAGCCAATTGGCATTGTCGATGGACGAAGACGAAGATGAAGATGGTGCATTTGAAACCCTTCGCGCTATTCGTAGACGATTCTTTGCTTATGAAAATTTCGGTGAGATTCAAACTATGATGGATTCATGAGGTTTGCTTTTGTGTGTTTAATCATAATGTGTATGCACATTTGCTTCATTGGTAACTATTCTTACTATTGTTTTGTAGATGTGGAAGGAAATTTCATGAATGATTCTTCACACGAGAAGAAGAAAAAGCAGGTACATGCCTCGGATAATGAACCTTCAACCGAAATATTGAGTAGATCTAATACTTGTGAAAGCTTTCCAGATCACGGGAAATCAGCTGTTACAGAGCCAGATTCAGAGACTTCTATTGAGCAACTTGACCATTTGGAGACATGCCAATCATCTCTTATGCCAGCTACAAGTTCAGGTTTCCCTGAAGCTGCACTAGCCTTTCTTGATGCAATCCGGAAGAACAGGTTATATCAGAAGTTTCTTCGAAGACAATTGAGTGAAATCGAAGCAACGATTGAGCAGAACGAGAAACACAGGAAAAATGTTAAGATAGTTAAAGATTTTGAAGCTTCTTGCAAGAGAATTACTAAACAGGCACTTTCTCGAGGGAAAGATCCTCGAGTCGAATTAATCTCAACTCCAAAATCTAGGCCTGATTCTGGTAGCTCCGGGGTAACGAACGCACTTTGATCTAGTTTTACTTGCCTCTGCTCTGTTTTGTATTCGTTAATAAAGTAGTGCTCTGACGCAAAATGTTTCTTTAAATTCTCTTGTAGGGTAATGATAAAAAGACATCTTATTTGACTATGGGTCCGCCGGAAAATACTTGTGTTGAAAATTATAGGATGGCACTAGAGAAATATCCAGTTTCCGTGGATCGCGCAAATTGGACTACTGAGGAGAAGGAAAATCTTGCAAAAGGTCTAAAACAACAAGTTCAAGACACACTCATTCGTGAAGCTTTTGAACGGTCCAGGTACTGCTTCTTGCTCTCGTTTTAAAGTGCTATCATACATCTGGTGCATTAAACTTGCTGCTTAAAGATCTATTCAGATGCAGAATTAGTTAAAGTTTTTTCTGTTTACTTAACAGTGACTTGGAAGGATCTACAGATGGTATAAACACCATTCTTGAAGGGATAAAAAGTCTTGAGATCACACCAGAAATGATTAGGCAGTTTCTTCCGAAAGTTAATTGGGATCAATTGGATATCAAGAACCGTTCTGCTGCAGAATGTGAAGCCCGGTAAGTTCCTCCTCTAGTTGAACTTCTGGTTACTCAACTATGGATTGATTTTCTTGATTTGTGCGGTCTCATTGTAGGTGGATGAGCTCGGATGATCCATTGATTAACAACGGTCCATGGACTGTAGCAGAAGACAATTACATACGCTTATTTACCAAAAACAAGGGTTTTACAGACTGGCTTGACATTGCGGTATCACTGGGGACAAATAGGACCCCATTTCAATGTTTGGCTCGATATCAGAGAAGCTTGAATCCAGATATATTGAGAAAAGAATGGACTGCAGAGGAAGATGACCAACTCCGTGCCGCAGTAGACTTGTTTGGCGAGTCAGACTGGCAATCTGTTGCAAATGTATTACAAGGAAGAACTGGACCTCAGTGCTCTAATAGGTCAGTGATCTTCTTGATGAATAAGTATATCAAATTCTGTAGTATACTGACAATTTTGTCATATGAATTCTAAGCTGATCGTCCAAACATGGGTAGGAGCTAGCTTGGTTGGGAAAAGACTCATGGGTTTATAAATCACCCATCAAGTCTGTGTTTAGTCGATGTGGGATTATAACATAACCTCAAGTTGCATGATATTTCAGTAGGCTTTATTACTATTTAAGAAAATTTATGATGTCTGTAACTTCAGATAATTGAATGGTGTTATCTAATTCCATTTCTTCTTCTCTATACTTTCAGATGGAAAAAGTCGCTTCACCCTAGCAGAACAAGGAAACGAAACTGGAGCTCAGAGGAAGACAAACGATTGAAAGTAGCTGTAACACTGTTTGGAACTAAAAACTGGCGTAAAATTGGTCAGTTTGTTCCTGGACGGACGGGTACTCAGTGTGTAGAGAGATGGGGAAATTCTTTAGATCCCAAACTTAAATTTGGGAAGTGGACCAAGGAAGAGGATGCAAAATTGAGAGAAGCAATGAAAGAACATGGACATTGTTGGTCTAAAGTTGCTTCATATATGTCTTGTCGCACTGACAGTCAGTGCGCGAGGAGATGGAAGAGCTTATATCCTCACCTAGCGCATCTTAGACAAGAAGCTAGAAGGTTACAAAAAGAAGCTACTATAGGTAATTTTGTTGACCGGGAATCAGAGCGTCCAGATCTTGTCGTAGGCGATTTTTTGGCACTAGCCGAGATATCTCTTGAGCCAGAAGAACCCGTCCTGACGAAGAAACGAAAACCAAGGTAAGTTAATCGAGTATTCCTCAGCTACTGATTGCTGCAAACACTCACAATGGTTTTTCGGATCTAGATTGACATTTTTGTCGATGCAGACATACGAAGAAGGCAGATACAGAATGCGAGAGTGAAGCAGTTTGTGCTGATACAGAGAGACAACCAAAGAAGCAGAGAAAAGGATTAGAGAGATGCTCAGGAGATGTATGTAGAAAAAAGAATGAGAAGACTGAAGACAATGTAAAGGAGAAGAAACAAAGGCGAAAACGCACAAGTGTTGCAGGAACATCAAATAACAGCTCTGTGACCACCAACTGCCCTCAAGTAAAAATTGGTATCCAGAAGCTTAAGCCTAGGAGGAAAGTCTCTGCACTAGTTCCTATTGAGAACCTAGATGCACAAAATTAGGTTTTTTTTTTATGTTTGTTGTGCTCTTGAAAATTTGTATTTACTTTCAATGCCTTGGAATTCAAGGTTGGACAGTGACTTGAAATGATCATCTCCTCTTTTTATTCCACGATTCTCTCAGAATCAAATTAAACCGGTCGATCCTGGTTTATTCGCGAACCAAAATTTGATTAGTGATTTAAAATATTGGGATTTCACTTGTGTATATAATAGTCCAATTGAGGTTTAGGGTTTAAGAGTTTGAGATTTCTACTTTTCGTTTGTCCAATATTAAAAGTTTTGGGGGGAGGGTTTAGGGATGGTTGACGATTTCCCAAAGGGTTTGTTTCGATTCTACAAGCGTGTATATGAGGTTGTGGATGATCCTTCATTGGATTCAATAATCTCATGGAGCAAAAGCAACAAGAGTTTCATCATATGGAATCACCAAGAGCTAAGGCGTAGAATGATATTTGCCAACTTCCACGGCCCCTTTTTCTCAAACTTCTTCTCCATGCTTAAGAATTTTGTAAGTTTTGGATTTGCAAGATTTAACTATATATATATAATCATCTCTCTCAGTTTTAACATCTTACTCTATATATGTAGGGATTTAAAAGAATCAAGAACGGGTCGGGGCAATTGGAATTTGGGAATGCTAATTTTGTGAGAGGCCAACCTGAGCTTTTGAAGAAGATGCAAATAAAGGCTAATCACAAAAGATCGATGAAAATTATCGCCAAGGAAAAAGCAGAGGAAGCAGCGGATGGCTTGAAGCTTTTACGAGTTTGATCAACAACCCATCATCATGCTTATGCTTATGCTTGCTCTTGTGTGTTTAAGATGAATAAACAAACTTATTCCATGGGTTTGTTGTTGTTGTTGTTGTTGTTTCAGTTGCTTTCTTGTATTAAAACACTTTTAATGGCTTTCGTTGTAATAATATCTATTTGGGATTCTATGATTTAAACACTCTGATCCTTTCACTTGGGATCCATCAGGAAGGCCATCAAGGTCTTTATCATATATCATCTACCTCATTAAAAGGCTTTCAGGTTGTTAGAACTAAATTCGTTCTGGAGCTCTCTGTACTTGTTTGGATTTCGACGTTCTCGCCCCACTTTCACCTTGTGCTAAGCCGCTTTTGTTATCCTGTAAATCTTCCGCTTCAACCGGAAAAGGAAGCAACCGATTGCTTTAAACTTTTACGAATTTGATCAAAAACCATCATTGCTTGCAAGTGAGAATACATGTTTGGTTTGATCTATTTGCCATTCTGCATAATCATCATCAATCTGTGGCTTGAAATATAGAAAATTGTAATATTTGGATTACATCTTCACATGTTACAAATATATGATATTGTTGTTGCTAAAGCGCATCTGAGTCACAGGTGATATAGCTCAGCTAAAAGATGTGTCAGCAACCACTGTAACACACTACCATCAGTACTGTCTCATTCAAGAATGTTAGGTGTGTCTATCCCGCTTACAGGAAAGCTATTGCAGAGCGGTTTAGGAGGAATTTTCCCAACAAACAAGTTGCAGATCTTCTCCAGAACAACACTTCAAATGAATTCAAGCAGTACAGGGGCAACACAGTAGGGCTAGTTTGAGCTAACATTTTAGATCTGCATCTACTCTGTAACTCGGCAGATACTTTTGCTCTTTCACAAGTATCGGCTAACACTAATGAATCTCTGATCTTCCAGCTTTCTCCATGCCCTTCCTTTTGTTTCATTATATGGCATTGATATCATAAACTCACATCTGTAGTGTTGCATCAGCACACATCCTTCACTGTCGTCAAGAAATAGAGCCAAAAAACTTCAATTTAGGTAGATGATTGGTTTATACTTTCCCAAATGGCTGGACCTTCAGGGTGGACATTGACAAAATACTTCACAAACCGGGCATCACCGCAAGTGAGAATAGTGCTTGGTGACAGCATTGGCTTTGCTGCATCTCTTTCCCTCAACCATAAATACATTGAGAATCTGTGATGTATTCTCTGCATATCATAACACAGATATGCCGGGAATCTTACCAGGGATTCAATCGGATAGCCAAGAAGTTCGGTTAAGGAATGTATCTTTTTCTCTATGACATCTTTAGACAGGTTAAGTATCATCGGAGCATGCCTGATGATCTCAGTAACCACATTATGGTTTAAACCGGCTTTCACAAGGCAATCAAATCTCTCCTGCAGCTGATCTCCCCTCCCTCGAAACTGTTTCAGAGCCTTCACCATCTCATCCGAGTTTTCTACATACCCTAGCCTCAACAGAAACGCAGTCTTCTCTAAGTATTTCCTCGAGTCTTCCGAAAGAGGTTTGCTTTTTCTCTTCTTTGTTGTAGAAACAAAACTAAACAATCTCAAAGGCTCTTTCTTTAAGAGCTGACATAGCTCGTCTTGTCTAACGTTCAAGCTAAGACAAGCAGTTCTAGGTGCTGGCAGAGAGCATGAACCAATTAGCTCCATATGACTCAGCAATATCTTCGTGATAAATTGCGTTTCCATTCTAATAGCAATCAAGAAATCCAACGTCTTTTGGATATTTTTTACGCATTTGTCTGACAACATCTCTGGGTTGTCTATAAATAGCCTATAAATCTCATTCACTTGAAGCCCCACTTTAAACAACCTACCAAACAGAACATAGAATTTCTTACCAGAGCCTTCGATTACCAAAGCTGGATACGTTTTCAAAAGACTACTCAAGTTCTCATCTTTACATCCCACTTTATCAAGAAACTCTATTGTCTCCAGAATTCTGCGCCAGCTATATGTTCTCCGGTCAGACAAGTACCGCCCGAGCCAATCACATCCTACTTGTAACCCCTTCAACTTATCAACCACAGAAGCAAATTCAGCATCAATCCCACCAACCAGTAGCAAAGGGCAACTAGTAACTAACTTGATAACTGTAGCCTTACTAAGACCCAAATTCTCATAATCCCTGAGTTTCATCGCCAACAACCCAGATTCATATCTAAAAATCTCTCGCGCTTCTTTATACATATGGCCAATCTTGCCACGCGGGATCCCATAGTTGCAAAGAGCATGAAAGTTCTCAAACATAATACCATCATCACTCAAAAACATTAGCTTCTGCGGAAGAAACGTTTCAAACTCATAAGGACACAAACCCAAACTCTCGAAAAACGGTTCAAACTCGTTTATCGGATTGTACCTAAGGAACTTAGTCAATCCCCTGGATACATCCTTGTGATTATCATCAATCTTAGACAACAAAGTCGACATAAAACAAGGAGAATTCTTACTTATATGCTCTGCATCAGTAAAAGTAAAGCTTCTAGTATAATGCAAGTAATCAAAAAGAGCTTCTTGAGCTTGATTCCTACTGGCCCTTGAAACCGGATTAACGAAAAACCTAGTTGGTAAGTGAGACGAGTGTTGTTGTAACTCAGATTTATCCTTACGAAGACAGCTTTCAATCTGAAAACTCCGCAATGTAAATGAAACACGAGAAAGGTCGGACCTTTGAACTTGGTTTTGACGAGGAATTGGTGAGAAAGCTATACAATTGTTGAGATTTGAAATCATATTCAACAGTTTATGAACTCTTCTCTGTTCTCTGCACAATAACATCGCAACCTGAAGACAAAGAGAAACAGTGAAAGTCACAATCAAATAGAGAACTATGAAGAATTCTCAATCCAACAAGTATTAATTAATCTCCAAGCAAGAAAATTTACCTGAAATTAGGGCTTATTACGCGCTTGAATCAACCATTTTCCAAGATTCTTAGGGTTCATAGCCAAATCTCAGTTACTTTGCTAAACCTTGCTGGGGATTAAAATTAAGGTGAAAATTTCAGAGAAGCCCCTAAACTTTTGTAATATAACAGAAACGACCATAAGTTTTTTTTTCTCCTATACTATTAAATTTGTGTAATAGGATCTTACGGCTCAGACCATATGCAAGAGGGAACTTTTGAGTGTGTTCTTAAGATTTAAAAATAGGAAATAAGGTGAACAGTGGTAGAACAGTTCTAACTTATCCTGCAAACTGTTTTTTCTGAAGAACAGTTTTTATAATTTTAAGAACAGTTGTATCCACTATTCAACATTTTTATTATTTTAAAACCTTTAAGAACACACCAAATGTTCCCTCTTGCATATGTTCTCAGAAAGTTCTAAAATGTTCTTACGGCTCAGAAAGTTTTAAAGTGTGCTTAAGAGTTTCCGAAATCATACATATAAAAGTAGGGTTTCACTCTCCCATGATTGGTCCACTTGGCATTTTTAAAATTATAATTTTTATTTTCAATTAAATTTAAAATTATAACACATATAATCATATACATTAATCCATACTTTAAATCTACACTAACCTACTCAATTGTAACTGAAATTACATAATTGTGAATTAACTATTTTTTTCTCTATTCATTGTCATTTAAACAAACTATAATTAGAATTGTAACTCCTATAATCTAATTAGTTTAGAAATGTAACTTTCATCACTTATTTTCCTATAAATAACCATTCTCACATCTTTTTCCACCATGTCTCAAATCCTAAATATTCTCTTTGTTTTGTTTATGTTCTTGCATGAGTTGAAAACTCAATTAAGATATCATTCTAAGAATTTGATTATATATTTTGTTTAATATATATCTTACATTCTTTTCCATTTTATTTCTTCTTTGTTTTTATGTATTTCTTCCTCCTTTATTTATTCTTTTTTTAACAATATTTTATTAATTTAAACATATGTATATTATAATTTTTATGGCTATAATAAAATTACCTTATTGATGCAGATTCAAAAATAGTAATTCCGACGATCGTGCAATAAGGGAATCAAGCTAAAGAAACTATCTTCATTTTTTTACTTTGAATGTTGAATAAATTACGGATTTTGTCCTTTTTCATAAGGGCATTTGTGGATTTTGCCCTTTTTGAATAGCTTATGCATTTTGCCCTTTTTCATGCTCCAAAAATATGATTTAACATGCGTTTCACTCGTTATGTTTGGGTTTAGTCGGTTCCATTTGTTCTTAGGGTTTAGTATTTGGTATAAAGTACGTATTTTTGGAAAAAAAATCCTAAATACGTATATTTGTAAGTGTTAAAAAAGGGCAAAATCCGTAAACTATTCAAAAAAGGGCATTTTCGTAAGTTTTTCCCAAAAAAGGCATTTTAAACAATAATCCCTTGAATGTTTGATTATTTCTTACATATTCATGTATATTTATTTTATTTTCAAAGTATGCATTGTTTTAACGAAATAATTTTTTGTAATACAATTATCAAATTAATTTTCCTTAACTCTCTCTTACCTCCAAAAAAATTGTAATACAATTTTTTTAATATGCTCATCATAATATTTAGTTTTATTGATGCTACATATAGTAATATAAAGATCATGAAAAAATTTATTTAATTTAAATTTTGTAGTGTAAGGATTTTTCTATATATATATATATATATATATATATTTATAAATTGATATTCCATTTCCAATTAGCTTGTACTATAAAGATGAAATCATTAGAATTAAACCTAGAAATATAACTTAAATTAAAGGGAATATAAAAAGAGATTAAAACAATGAAAGTAATCTTTGGGATTTTTTGAGAGCTTTTATTTGTAGTTCATATGATTTTATAGGAAATGTATTTAATTGATTATTTACAAAATAATTTGGAAAATACTTTAGGTTATGATTAGTTTATATCAGCAACTTAGACTAAATATTTGAATATCATTGTATATTTTCATTTTTATCACTAATAATGTTTATCTTACCTTGAATGCTCAAAAATACTAAATAAAATTATTATCATAGTTGAACAATAAAGAAAGAATAAATTCATGAGATTTCTATGTATGATTATATTAACTAAGTTATATATTTTTATATTGTATGATTTGAATAAATATAAGTGTAGAAAATGTCATTGACATTTAGGAAAATTATTTGTTCTATATTTTTAAATTATTATTAAATAAATTAAATTTACCTAACATAATTGATTTTAATTATGAAATTTTTAGATGATATTTGGTCCTTAAAATCTAACTTGTAAATTGAAACAATTCTTCAAATACATTTAATACAAAATGAATCTTTCACAATGAATTCTTTAGAATGTAACATAAACATTTATGATATAAATACAATTAAATCTACTCATAAATGACATTCAAACATGATGTGAAAGTTTTATCAAAAACAAAACATGATTGTGGAAGTTAAATAGTTGTCTAACGTAAATATGATTTTATTACAAAAAAAGTCCCTATAAATATTAAGACACACATCTCACAAACCATCATATTCCAAGTTTTCTATTATTGGTAAATTGTATAACATTTTCTCTTCTAATTCAACAAATGGTGTTTCAATATATATTTTTTGTCACTTTTGTAAGAGATTTTGAAGAGGAGGTGACATGAAACCAAGAAATCCTATGCACGGTCAATCGTTTGTGCTACTTTAGATGTCTATCAAAAGAAGAGAGTAGAGAAGATGCATTATTTTAGGTTTTCTTTGCTGAAAACATTCATTATATTCAATCTATATTAACCTCAATTTGGGTTGACTTATATAAATTTTTCAATCTTTTTATATGTAAATATCTTTTAAATTATGAAACATTTACAGAAAGTAGCATAAAATGGTTTATTATTAATAGTAATAAGGTGTTTAAAAATTTGTTATGTTAATTATGTCCACCAATTTATGAATAGCTTGAAATTAACGAATACTAATAATGGATATTTTCACGAATTAAATTAATCTACTATATACAATAAATGTCATTTTTCAAATGGTTATCTTTTGGTAGTTGAAATTTAGTAATGCTTTGGAAAAAGGCAAGTAAAACATATATTGAACCAAGTTGTAATTTCGAAAATATTAAGTGAAAGTCTTAAGTCTATATAATGATTTGTTAACTATCTCATTCATCTGTTATTTATATATATGCGTTATTATTGTTGTTTTGCTTACAATATAAATTTAATTTATTTATTTTACATAATGAAAAACTATATACAATAACCCACGCGTCGCGTGGACAAACATCTAGTATCATATAGGTATCAGTTAGTGCATGTGCATCATCAACACTTGGCCTTAAAACACTTAACGTGGGATATTATTCCCTACTTAATACCGAATTAATAGACTTGTCAAGTTTAGACGTGTCAAAAGTGATAAACATATCACACGAAATCGTGTTATTAATATGAACGTTACAAATTCTTAAATATATAACTATAAAACGACTTCAAAACCCATCCAAGTGGTGATTTCTTTGATCTGAATATCTGATTATGTTTGCAAGATAAAGGCAGCAAGAAACGGTGAGTTTTTTTTCACAAGCATAAATGTGTTTGTTCTTCTTTATGATTTTTAATTTTATAAATATGTAACTCTTGTTTATTAGGTCAATTTCAAGTGGTCCATGGTAGATTCAATTCAAGTTAGGTCATCATCTTCAAGCTAAAACGCCTACCAAACATTCAATAACAAGTATTCTTTTAATCACTAGTTTAAATTTCAAAATATTTCTGACTATCTTAAGTGCATTTAGTTCAAGATATATGATAGAAAAGAAAAGATAACTTGAGTCTTGTTCAACTTGCAGATATGTTATATGTTATGACTTATGTTTGAGAGGAATGATTTTGCTTTGTTAAATTTTTATATAATAAACCTCCTGGCTTACTCGGATGAATTTATACTAGTTTTGATTTTCTAGTAAAACAAAGTTTTTTTTTTTCAGATTGGTTATATAGTTTCTTCTCGATTTGATCATGCATATACATATATTTTTTTCAGAACCTTTTGACAGCAACTTAAAAAAAAAACTTAATAAATAAATAAATAAATATATAAATATATATATTGGTATGAGAAACTATTTATGATTTTTTCAAACATAATGTCTTATTGAGGTAAAATTTTAACTATAATTAGAAATACATTATTATTATATATATATATATATATTTTTTTTTTTTTGGTGATCATTATTATTATATATATGTAGATTAATCTTATTCACTAAATCTTTAATCATTTTTTTTCTCTCGTAACTTCTTTATTTTTTATTTAATATATAATACTTGCAACACATTATATAAGCCAAATTACCCAAATTTCTGCAAATAAAAAGAAAAATCCTTGGCTCCTCCTAAAATCCACCTACCTTACCTTTTATATGATCACAACCAAAAACAAGATAATTTGGTGCTTTTAATATTTAAGGATACATTATTTTCATTAATTAACTTATTTCTTCTCCCTTAGGTTTTCCTACACACTCGATTTAAATCGTTTAAGAAGGTTTTATACAACCAATTTTCTCCTCCTTTTGTTTCCTCCCTAATTACATGTTAATAACTATCGATTTGTTGTCTTCTCTCTAGATTATTCTTTATATTTTTTTAATTAAATCTCTCGATTATTCTTAAGATAACAACTTTTTTTTTTCTTTTTTAATTACTGTAACCTCTTGCGCTTCAAGTTACTTGGATAATTTCTCGAAGTCTCTGAAGAAAGAACCCTTTTTTCTTCTTCTCTAGTAATCGTCTCTGTAACGTCCTTCTTCTTCATCATCTTCTTTGCGTTTCTTCTGCAGCTTTTTGCGGTTCACGTGTTGATTGCTTCTGTCTCAACTTTTTGTCCGTTTTAAAGTTTAAACCTTTTTTACAAAACTGGGTTTTCTCTGATAAACTTAAAAAACAGAGTCTTTTAGTTTCTTCTTCTTGGGTATAACGAAGATTCAAGAAAGTTTATTGTTTTGTTTCTTTTGTTTTCTAATTGTATAATCCTTAAAAGATAAGACTTTTGTTTTTTGTTCATAAATGAAGTTTCTTACTTTGCTCTTTTTTATGTATTTCAGTAATGGTGATGATGCTGAAGCTTGAGAGAAGGGATTAGTGTGAAGAGTAAGTGTTAAAACCATTCACCAAAGAAGAAATTGAGAACTAGCTAGAGACAGTCATGGAGATCAAATCTTACCAAACTCAAGCAGAGGATTTTGTTGAACACTATTTATTAGCAGATCCATTTCTTCCATATACTTCTGTTGTTGCTGGAATCTTTCTCTGCAAATTGGTAATTTTTTGCTTCTCTTCACTTGCAATTGCAAAAACTTCACTTTTGTTTTTCATTCTGTTTTTAAACAGTGTAGCTTATGCTCTTAGGTCTATGATCTTACGGAGTTATTCAGCTCAATTCATATCAAATCATACTCAGCTCTCACAAAAATAAAGAGAATTGAATGGAACAACAGGTGAAGTATACTTAGATATAGGTTCCTTGTTTCAGCTTTTTTTATATGTTATGCTTTGTCTCTTATCACTTTGGCTTATAATATAACTTGACAGGGGAATTTCTACAGTCCATGCGATCTTTATCTCATTCATGGCATTATACTTTGTGTTCTTCTCTGATTTGTTTTCTGACCAAAGAAGCCTTGAAAGCCTTACGGTGTTTCGTAGCTCGCCTCTCTCTAACTTTGGTTTAGGAGTAAGTTTTGATCTTTTGTCATTTGTCTCATAAGTTCTACTCATGACCATTGATCAACCTAAATGGTACTTTGTTGTGATGTGTTTTAATGCATAGGTATCAGTTGGTTACTTTCTTGCGGATCTTGGAATGATCTTTTGGCTATACCCTTCTTTAGGAGGATCAGAATATGTAAGTTAGACATAAGAAAAAGCTTCTGTGTTCTCCATTGGTTTCAATCACTTGACAATCTTGATTTTGTTTTCAGATATTCCATCACTGCTTATCCGGAACAGCAGTAGCGTATTCTCTATTCTCTGGAGAGGCTCAGCTTTACACATACATGGTTTTAATCTCTGAAGTGACTACACCAGAGATCAATCTTAGATGGTACCTTGACATTGCTGGTTTAAAGCGATCTAAAGCTTATCTTATTAATGGAATTGCTATTTTCTTTGCTTGGTTGGTGAGTTTCTTAAAACCTTTTTCCGTGTAAATTGTCTTATAACTTGGTTGGATTCAAGTTCTGTTCTTCTGAAACTTCATGTTTTGTTTGCAGACAGCAAGAATTCTTCTGTTCATCTACATGTTTTACCATGTCTATATACATTATGATCAGGTAACCAAGATTTCGGTTTAATTATTTCTAAACCAAACGGTTTAGCCTCTATGGAAAATTGGAATTACTGTTTCTTTTTGCTGTTGTATTGGTTAGATATAGAGATAATGAATTGATGATCAATGGCAGGTGGTACAGATGCATACATTCGGTTATCTACTGGTTTTCGTTGTACCGATTGCATTGAGTGTCATGAACTTGATGTGGTTTGGTAAGATAGTGAAGGGATTGAAGAAAACTCTTGAGAAAACACAGTGAAGAAAGAGTTCTCTTTTTTTTTTTTTTTCTAATGTAAATATAAAACTCTTTTGAAGAATCTTACAAGTTCATAAGCAACAAAGATATGGTTTTTTTTAAAATACTTTTAGCTTATACACTAATTATTCCCACTATTCCCCACAACAGTCCCTATGCATACTGAATAATTTATTTGCAGTTTTATACAATCATGCACATAGTGACATAGAAGTATAGAACAAACTATGTGTTTACAATTTAAATCCGTTAAAAGTTTTTTTCTACAAAAATCATCCAAACTACAAAATCAAAAATCTCACTTATTTAACAATTAGCCAGTTGAGCCATTGGTTCGTGGGTTTTAGCCGGGCTAATCTGGTTTTATCCAAGTTTTTTTGGTTTTTATTAGTTTTTATTGCATGGGCATGTTTTCAATTTCTATAGAGTGTCATGTAATTTGTTTTTTTCTTTCAAAAAAGCAAATGAGGCTTTATCCCAAAAAGGCTTGGGCCTGAATTTTACATTGGGCCAACGATACCAAATGTGCATATTCGTAGTTTTCGTGTGATATTTACTTGCCGTGTAATATTTGTTTCCTTCTCATTGTTTTTTTTTTTTGCTAGAAAGAGAGCAATATTATTAATTCAGGAGGAGGAGGAGATTGGTTGTTGTTGACGACGCGTTTCCGCTATCTAAATATTTTGCCTAATTGTCTCCGTCTTCTTTTGATCTTCAATCTCAGTTTTGAGCTGAAGATTATCGGCATCCGATTCTCTTCAGATCCATAATCATGGCTACAGCTGGAAACAAGAGCATTAACGCCAAATTGGTCAGTCTTATTAGCTCGATTCTTTTGAGCTCCCTTTTGATTTTTTTTTTAATCTCCGATGATCGTGAAATTGATTGAATTTGCAGACCCTTTTGTTAGATTTTCAGTTTCCGGATGTGATTCTGTTTCTAATTTGGAGAATTTTTATATATGATGTTTTGAATTGGACAACTTTAATCGGATTTTGTTGTTAGGGTTTATGTTGGATTTTTATTTAGGTTTTTTCGTAATAGGGTTTTAGGGATTTATCGAGATCGAACCAGAATTATAGATATGAAGATGCTTGCAAACATCGTTGATTTTTTTTTTTTTTTTTGATTTGTTTCTGTGTACTACTTGGTTAAGTCTTCAGGTGTTACTTGGAGATGTTGGAGCTGGAAAATCAAGTCTTGTGTTACGTTTTGTCAAAGATCAGTTTGTTGAATTCCAGGTTAATGGCTCTTCTGTTATAATGATCATCTTGTTGTTTTCACATTCTGTGTGTGCTTCTTGACTTTAATATTTGTTTATGTTATAGGAATCAACGATTGGTGCTGCTTTTTTCTCACAAACATTAGCTGTCAACGATGCAACTGTCAAGTTTGAGATTTGGGATACAGCGGGTCAGGAACGGTACCATAGTTTGGCTCCAATGTACTACAGGGGTGCTGCTGCTGCAATCATTGTCTTTGATGTTACGAATCAGGTACAGAATGATAAAACTCCATGCTCTCTATTGATCAGTAGATGCAATGAAGTGGCTTTCTACTAAATTAAGTTTATTTGAATCGTTTGCTATCTTCTTAGGCCTCGTTTGAGAGGGCAAAGAAATGGGTTCAGGAACTGCAGGCACAAGGTATTGTATAGCTAAGTTATGGCTTTGATTTTTCTTTGTTAGTTTATGACTAACAGTTGCAGGCACTGTCGAGCTTTAGTTTTTGTCTTTTGGTTTTACTAAATAAATAATATATTATAGGTAACCCTAATATGGTCATGGCCCTTGCTGGAAACAAATCTGATTTATTAGATGCAAGGAAGGTGACTGCAGAGGTAAGCAAGTCCTCTGTCCTGACTGATTTTTCTCATTCTGAGGTTTAGATTTTGACTGGAACCAAACCATTAGGTGATATGTCTTTGTTGTAAAATTACAATCTACCTTAATGACATTAACCTGACAAACCAAGCCACCTAAGCAGACCCCACCCACTTAACAAATCATAGATTAGGCTTGTTGTATAGATAGTTAAGTTTTCCTCAAGAAGTATAGAGCAGTTTTCTCTAACCAGCTTTGGAGAATGATTTAATCGCTTTCAAAAAGACGTTACTTAGTTGTCATCAAGCAGAAAAAAGACGCCTTTTTAGTAACCAGCTTTGGAGAATGATATAGATGTTTTCATATGACCTTACTTATTCCGCAATCAGTTTTTTTTTTTGCCCGTATTTTAACTCTCTTATGCCAAAAGCCTAGATTTTAGATAGTCGTATTTCGCAAGACTGATCATTTACGTTGTGCATTAAAGTTCAGTTGCGACTTGCTAGGACAGAAAAACACGGTTTAGTATCCAAACAACCAAACATCTGACCTTTTAACTTTGCTTCTGAATCTCACTGCTTAGCCTAGTTCCAGATGATATCTCACACTCTTGATCCTTTGCAGGAGGCACAAACATATGCTCAAGAAAACGGTCTTTTCTTCATGGAAACATCAGCAAAAACCGCCACTAATGTCAAAGAGATATTCTATGAAATCGGTGAGGTTTCCTTACACTCTGAGAATTAGTTGAAACAATTTTAGTTTCTCGTATTAAACCCTATCATACTTTATCTTTTGACCCGTACAGCAAGAAGGCTACCGCGAGTACAGCCAACAGAAAACCCAACAGGAATGGTTCTCCCAGACAGGGCCATGGATAGGGCAGTGAGCTCATCTTGTTGTGCTTAGTTGTATATGTAATGGACACACCTCTTAAAAAGAAATCTTTTGGTCAGTGACTTTTGAAGTTATGGACTTGTGTGTTTGCGTTTCTTTGCTTTGTTTTGCGTATTTGAGATTTGATCTCCACTCTTTTGTAAATAAATCTAATACTCTCTACTAGTAACTAAATGCGTGAAAAGCAAGTTTCTATAAATCTATGGATCCAGTTGTCTTAACACAAATATTTCAAGTTATAGAATTAGAAACTCTAAAATAAACTCAAACATTGCCGACAAAAGTAGGGGTGTCAAAATGAGCTCGCAACTCATGAGCTGGTTCAGCTCAACTCGATTCATGAGCACGAGTTCTGTTTTTTAGGCTCATTTAATAAATGAGTTATGTGATCGAGCTTTTTTTAGATCGCGAGTTATATGAGCGAGCTTTAATGAACATGAGCTAGTTCATGAGCTCGACTTTTTTTTAGAAATATATATATTTATATATATCTTTTCCATTTAAATTAAACAAAAATAGAATTATTCTTTTAGAAAATTTGTGTGTTTTTACATATTAATTTTAGAAGATAATATAAGCAATATAGAAATAATCCTTTTAAAAATTTATCTAAAACGTTTTCCAAAAAAAAAAAAAGAAATCATCTTATTTAGATATTATCTAAAACGTTTACTTGTAGATGAAGACAATGAAGATGTTGATGTAGGATCATCTTAAGAGCAAGAGTAACACGGAATAGATTCTTGATCATTCCATATTTATATTATCTTTAATTAATTTAATTTAATTGTTAGGATTTATTATTTGAGATTTTTTTTGTTTGGTGTTTTGAGATTATTTTTTTTCTTGGATTTATTTTCATTATTTAACTTTAGAATTAATTATGTTATTAGATTTATTTTATTTAAAAAAAAAAAATTAAAATTATTTTTGTTATTATATTTATTTGTTATGAGCTCGCGAGCTAGCTCATTTAACTCGTGACCAAGATGATCTGAGTACGAGTTTATATATTGAAGCTCATCTAATAAATGAGCCGAGCTGAGTTAGCTCATGAAATGTCCGAGCTCATCATGAGCTGAGCCGAGTTGAGCGAGCTAGCTCATTTTGACACCCCTAGACAAAAGCAAGCTTTATCACTTTTGGTGACATTGTCAAAGAGGTTTTTTTTTTGTCAGCAGTCAAAAGTTCTCTAGATTGTAGAGTTGTTTTTAACTCTGACAGAATTGTTTTCATTCAAAGATGCATACTATACACCCAGCTTATAGAAATTTATAAATAGTTTCTGATCGAAATCAAATTGAACTAAAATAAAAGAGAAATAAACACCATAACTAGAATTACTCAAATGTAAAAAATTAACAATATGATAGGTTTTGGTGAATCGATCATTTTTGTTTATATTTTCACAAGACATGCCCTCAATGAACTAAATTCGCTTTTGTAACATCTTCAATGGTAGCCCAAGCCCAAAAGGGCCTAGCACAAGAAACTAGATCCTTTTTTTTTTTTTTTTTTGTCCAGAAGACCAAGTTTAATTTTCACGGTTTGGCAAAGTGAGATTTGCTTCTCACGTTTTGGCAATTAAGCCAAATTCTGACCAAAATACCCCTGCCAGCGTAACGACGTACTGTTCCGTGTACAGTTCAGTTATGTGGTTTAGTTAGGTACAGTGTTTCTGGTTGGGTTCAGATATTTTCGTTTTTAATTCTTTTCTGCGGCTCTACTTTTTTCGATATTATCTTCTCTCGTCTTCTTCCCCAAAACTTTCATCGTAAATCCATATTTTATATCTTTTTCCTTTTTACTGGGATTTTTCTAAATTAATCTTGCAATTGATTTGTAGATTCATCAAATTCTCGTTCACCTCTATCTATTGATATCAATTTTGATCTATTTCGTTTATCAAAAAAAATTCTAGGGTTAGGGTTGTTGATCTCCTCTCTAGTTGTTTAATATCTTGATCCATCGTTTTCTTTCGCTATTTACATCGATTTTCTTAAATATTCCTCTCTAGTCACCCATCTTAGTACAGTTCGAGTACCAACTAGTTTAGCTATTGTGACTGAGGGTAGGTTCAAGTCAGAGGCTGCAAGGGAGGAGTTGTACGCCGAGCAGCTTTCACCGGTGAAGTTGAGAACAACTGGAGATGATCCGTTGATGCTACAGAGAAACTTCATGTATTCATTGTAACCTACATTTGCAGCAACACTTAATATCAGTTGTTGATCTCTTAGTATCAGCGAAATCATTTCTCCTTTTTATGCTCAATGGGTTCAATAAAGCACTTACCTATGTCGAAAATCAAACCAGGGTCAAGAGCTGCAGTTGCATTGACGAATCCGCTACCCATATCGAAAGGTGTTGCAGGGGACTGACTAATGTCGGGGTTTAAGACAGTGCGTTGTGCCATTATATGCTCACCCTTTCTGTCTGATAGAGAAGCTGTTGTTGAAAGTGCGGATGCAATGGCTGCAGGAGTGAATTGTAGGAACTTTTGCTTGATGAGCGCCTAAATACCCGTTACATGTGGAGCAGACATGCTTGTCCCCGATTCCATTGCAAATCGTTCACCTAAACACCGCCAATTCAAGAGCTCAAAAAGACTACCAGAAACACAAAATGGGTAATCTTATAAGGAGAAATGAGGATATGTGTACCTTGAAAATCGGTTGTACCAATGCCAAGAGGACTCCAAGCGCCCCATATCGCATTTCCGGGAGCTACTAAGTTGGGTTTCATTATATCAGCATTAACGAAAGAATCATCTTCTGGGTCAGGTCCTCTAGCAGAGAAATACATGACCTTGGGAGCAGTAATGCCATAGGTAGGCTTCATGCCACCAAAAATTCTAGCAACTGATGCAGACCCAACTATTTTGCTTGAACCATTCTCCCTCAACAGAGAAGAATTGTAATACCGGAGTTTAGACATGACTGTTGCCCACTTTAATTAATACAAACTCATAATTACCTCTTCTAATATTTGTTTATATGTATGAATAATTTTAAGAGATAAACAAGAAAAAACAAACAAAAAAATTTATATGAACGAATGTGATGCTGGAGAAGTTTTGATTTTGTTGTTTTACAAAGTTTGGAGACAAGAAAAGCGACGAAGAGAGTGATAGGTAAGATGATCATCAAAGCGACGATAGATCTATGGGGGGGAAGTACCCTCGATCCTACTATAGATGGTAGTGAAGATAGTGGCGAAGATTATGATTACAACAAGTGGAATGATGTAATTGTAGAAGAATATAGAATTGAGAATGTTGAGGAGGACGTCATTCTCACTCGACAGACTGTTGAACATTCAGGGGAATTCAGTCGTCTATTGGCAGAGTGTACGTACACAAGTCAGCGTGTACCTGGCAGATATAACATTTCTCATTTGGATGACCGTACACTAACTGTGACTCCAACACGTACGTATCGACATGGTTTGTACAAATGTACGTACACTAGCGATTGTGTACAAGATACAGGTTGCGAAAGTGATTTTGTTGCGTACACGGATACCAATATTAATGGTATAGACGAAGTTATTGGGGATGATGTTCTTGATTGTGGTATTGGAGCTTCAGCAAGTGGGGCACTGAATGATCATCAGCTAGTTACATTGGTGACGATGGTGACGATGTTGACGATGCTGTCCCTAGGACCAATGGTGACGATGCTGAAAGTGACCTTGTGTCTGGAAGTGCAAAGACACCAAATTCCATTGTAGCGACTTCAAATTTGGATGCAAATAAGGAGGCCGTAGATTAGTAAAACGACGTTGAAGACGATAAAACAGATGAGGATGAAGAGGAGGAGGACAACGAAGATGGTGATGGGTATGATGATCATGAGGGTGACGATGGATCTATGGGGGGAAGTACCCTCGATCCTACTATAGACGGTAGTGAAGGTAGTGGTGAAGAATACGATTACAACAAGGGGAAAGATTTAATTGAAGAAGAATATGAAATTGAGAATATTGAGGAAGACGTCATTCACACTGAACATACTGTGGAACATCCAGGGGAATTTAGTCGTTTATTGGCAGAGTGTACGTACACAAGTCAGCGTGTACCTGACGGAGAAAACATTTTTTATTTGGGTGACATTGCACCAACCGTGACTCCTACCCGTAAGTATCGACATGGTTTGTACTTTGTACCAATGTACGTACACTAGAGAATGTGTACAAGATACATGATGCGAAGGTGATTTTGTTACGTACACAGATACCAATATTAATGGTAGAGACGAAGTTAATGGTAGAGACGAAGTGACTAGGGATGATGTTCTAGAGTGTGGTATTGGAGGTTCAGCAAGTGGGGTAGTACATGATAACCGGCTAGTAACCGCATTTGAGGCTTATAGAGTGTATAATGGGTTTTCTTCATTACATGGTTGTGAGGCAAAGATTCTCGATAATGATGTTTGCTCCTGTATTCGATGATTTACCCAATTTTTGAGCCGATGAGACACAAGTTGAACTGAGTACGACATGTGTTACTTTGTATGTGGGGAGTATTTTTATGAACATGCAAGTCATACAACAAACAATGGCTTATCTTGCAATCAAAGTTTGCTTTTGCTACAAGGTAGTGACGAAGATTACATTACAATAAGTTGACTCATCTTGTTATTGAAAAATATGGGATAGGATATGTCGGGAATGCTGGTGACACTCAACTTACTGTGGGGCTAACATGAAAATTCAGTTGATTATTAGAAATGTGTACGTATACTAATTAACATATACGTAATTGAAAAAGCATCGATTATTTTGGAGAGAATAGTGATATTCAACCATTTGTAGTCATAACCAGGAGGTAAAACATGATTTTTAGAAGAATGTACGTACATTACTAATTATGTACACAAGGAAGTATCTGACGATGAATGTTTGATATACACAAATGCAAATTGGCATGGTACATGTCGCCAATATTAGTTTATTATTGTATCAATAAATTTATCTTAACAAATTTAACTCTCCAACAAAGATGTACGTACAATACTATACGTATACGTACATAATCTTTTCAGAAATATGAGGAACAAATATTATTTGACCATATATTTTTACTTAATTATTATATATTTTATTGAGATAGACGAAAGTAACAAAATAGCTTAATTTTGGAGTCAAAAGAGGGTGGTTAGATATATAATTATTACAACCACTTTAATATTGTATCATATATGTTCCATTAAATATGTTCGTGTACGTACACAGTAAATTATATATACGTACACAGAAGAAATTCGATGAAGGGTAAAACTGTAATTTTTCTGTCGTCTTCAACCTAAGTATCCTCTTCTGCAACCCTAATTTTGCAGCCGTCGAATTTATCTTTATTCCCAGACATCCCAACAACGGTTGCTATCTCGCCAGAATTTATGAGTTATTCTTCGCCGGATAATCACTAACTTGCTCTTCGCCGGATATTTGACTTGAATGAGATGTCTCAAATTAATTTGCAGAACAATTGCAACGCAGATTTCGAAAGACGAAGATGGATGAATGAATTTTGATAAGAAATTTGACTTCTCTCTCGATTCTCTCTGTATCTCTCTTTCCTCTTCTTCGTTTTCTTTGTTTTTTTTTTTAATAAATTTAAAACAAAATCGCAAACCAAATGAAACTGAACCAAAGCTAAAGAAACTGAACCGAATCTACTGTGCTGTTTAATTTCTGTCATTAGGGGTATTTTGGTCAGAATCTGCCTTAATTGTCAAACCCTGAGAACTGAATCTCACTTTGCCAAATCGTAAGAGTAAATCTTTTTTTCATTGCTTTCGTGAAAATTTCTTTTCCTTTTATGTATCTCTTTCGTGTTAGGGTTTGTTGATTGATAGAGAGAGCGTGAGATCTGGCTGGATTCTTCTTCTCGGCATCTGTTGTTCGTTAGTTTGGATTTGAAAAATGGCTCTCAATTTCCCAAAGGGAATTGCTGCGTTCCATGTGAAGGTATACAAGGTTGTGGAAGATCCTTCGACAGATGCAATAATCTCATGGGGCAAAGACAACAACAGTTTCGTCATTTGGAATCTGGAAGAGCTAATCAGCAGTAAGATACTTTGGAGATTCCACTGCATGAAATTCCCCGAGTTTCACTCCGAGCTTAGGTATTATGTAAGTTTTCTATATCTCTTTTGGAATCATCTCTCTCTCTCTCTCTCTCTGGGGTACAGTTTTGAATCTTGCTGCTATGTATTATTATTTGGTAGGGCTTTCAAAGAATTAAGAATGGGTCTGGGGAATTGGAATTTGGAAATGAAGATTTTGTGAGAGGCCAACCTGAGCGTTTGAAGAACATGGTGATGAGAGCTATGAGTAAGAACAGGGCCAAATTTAATGCTAGAGAAGCAGTCAAGGATCTGCAAAGTTTAAAGATTTGATCAGAATCATCCTTGCTTGCATGCATTTATGTTAAATATTGATAAGTTGCTTTCTTGTATCAATACTTTAGTGGCTTTGCTGAGATAATGAAATTTGCGGAGCAAGTAACTATATATACTACGTTAGTTATAATGTTATCTTCTCATTGCGTAGAACTTTAGAGAATATATTAATTAAGGTTACTTATCTTATGGCTATACGCTTTAATAGATATGTTGGTATGGTTGTGCTGTTTTCATTTCAAAGTCTCAAAATCCTTCATCTTTTGGCTTTATCTTGTTGTGTAATCTTTTTTTTTTTTTAATTATCCCATGTGTGATTTCTAAAATCACACCTAAAGTGTATTTGTGTAAGATTGGAAGAGAATTAAGGGCTGTAGAGACTGAAAGCTTGATGTCCAAGCAACATATGAGAAGATAAGCATTGATTAGAGCTTACTAGAGTCTATCTAAGGTTGGTGTAGACTAAGCCATAGTTAGATAATGCTTTAATTTGCGACCACATTAAAGAAGAAACGGCTACCACTCTGGTTTTGAGGTTGTAAGTTTGTCTTCTAGTGTTTTCAAATGTTAAAAGTTTGTTTGTCGCTCAAGGACGCAAAACATGTTTTTTCAATCTGTCATCTTTGAGATAAGATTGAGCCTTGGCGTTTGCACGGGAAACCCTAATGGTGTCGCCACTATAAAGGGAAGTTGTGAGCCAGAGGAGGGAGTAACACAAGCAGAGTAAAGAACAGAGAGATATTGAAAGAAGAGTGAAAAAGAGTAAACTTTTGTCTCACTTTCTTTCTAGCTTAGAAGTTACAGAGTGAGTCTATTAGCCAGTGAAGGGAGGCGTTCACTTGTAAGCTTCTTTTAAGGCTGTAATCTCTTTGATATCTAATGGATTCCGAGGACAGTCTCGACCCAGACGTAGCCTTTTTTGGGTGAATTGGGTTAATAAATCACCTTGTGTTCCTCTGTTCTTGCAACTTTCTCCAAGTTCTTTGTGGGTTTATTGGTCTGGTTACAGAGGAAAGTCAACACCCTTGTGACGGTTTCAGACCTAACCTCATAATGCGCTAAGATCTATCTAATAAGAATTCGAAGAATTGGATTTGATTAATATTAGAATGAGTACTAAAAGTTATCATACTCTCTATAGTCTTCGACTTCTTTGTATAGCCTTCAATCGAATGGAACTGCTTCCGTAGATCTCGGGTTATACTTTCTATTCGACTCCGCAGATTTCAGGATCTTTGACCTAGTGGATGACATTGACAAGTTTTCTTGTACGACTAGAGCTCATCGCTACGAGCTGGCCATGTCAAATCACGAGTTATCTATGGAGACACATATCTATGTAGGGTTTTTCTTGACGTAGTCAGACGGGTTGTTGCGGAGTCTACTATGGCAGACCATTATTTCTCGTGTAACAAAAACAAATATCTTCAGTTATAAAAAAAAATTCAACAGATGATGAAGAAGATGAGGAAGAAGATGAGGAGTAAGAAGAAGAAGATGATGCAGTGGCGGAGCTAGAACTTGTATTTACGGGGGTCAAAATGTCAAATTAATAATTATAGGGGTCAATTTGTTCTTTGTATTGGTGTCAATTTGAAAAATTTAGCCAAAAATTAACTAAATTTCAAAATTCTATAGGTGTCATTTGACCCCTATGCTTTTTAACTACCTCCGCCCCTGAGATGATGATGAATGAGATACATGGATGTCATTTTATGGCTGTGTTAACTTAGATTTATGTTTGTTTTAAACCTATGTGTGTGTGTGTTTTCTTTTTATGTTTGTCTTAACTTAGAATTATGTTTGTTTTAAAACCTAAATGTTGTTGTTATTCTAGATTTATCTTTGTTTTAAGACATGCAAATGTTATTTTATCTCCCTGAATTTAGTGTAACGTTTTTAGCCTTCTTTTTGTCTTTATTATTATAAACAAATCATGAGATATTATTATTAAAAATCCCTGGTCAGATCACTGTGTGGTCTGGATACTGAGTTATAAAAAAAAAACAAATCATGAGATATATGTGTTGTGTCTTTTGACCAAAAAAAAAATGTGTGGGGTCTCTTTTATCATGCATCCTGGGAAAGTGGGAATATCAATCGGATAGAGTGGATTGTAAAGTATGATCTTGTGAATTGATTATTGCTTGTGTTGGAAAGTCTTGTAAAGCGAATATGATTATATATTTTCTTGTGTAAGAAAAATAAAGGGACAAATTGATACTATATTGAATAATATCATTGAAAAGGTTTCTATAAACTCTGTTGAAAGAAATATCTGTATATAACAAATTAAGTAACAGTAGAGAACAAAATTTCAACCATGGAGAAGCACAGTAAGCGAGTTATAACACCATGGGTCAATACAAACTATAGAGGGCCTATTCAGCTATTCTATCAAACTTCGTTTTTGTCTTCATCAACAGCTTTCGAGCTTTTCCTTTTCTTTGCATTATCGTTTTCCTCGTCCAACTTAGCAGCAGAACGCTTCCTGATTGCTTCCATGCTATTGTCATCGTTAGCCCACTCGAGCACCTGAAAAGACATGCAAATGGAGAGTCGAGAATGCATTGAAAGTAAAATCAAAAGAACAGGCTTGAGAGAGACGAGCGTACAAAATAAGACTTACCAAATGGCGTCCGTAGAAATGGGTGCTGGATAATGCCTTCTTAGCATTTAAGGCTTCTTGCTTTGTCACGAATTCAACAAAAGCAAAACCAGCATATTGCTCGATATTCCTCTTTGGAAGCCTCATACTCTTGATCTGCATAAACAAGAAACATGAATGTTGTTAGATATTTCTGAATTTTTTTTCCAAATCCAACTTGTTTGCACTAACTTCTATATTGTTCCAATACAATATAGCTAATGTTTCATCATCCCCTTGTAGCTTCCTTTAACAAAAAGAATTTTTACACGCATAAGACCAAAACTTCAGCAATTGCACAGACTTGTACGAGAATGGTAGTGTGTGTTCATGGTTTGTAAACTAGAACCTGTGCCCATAACATCATTCTATCCTAAGATAAGTGCGTACCTGTCCAAATGGACTGAATAGCTGTTTTAGTTCCTTCTTGGTTGCCTCAAAAGCTACATTTTTCACATGTAACTTCGTAGAAGGTTTGTCCTTGCCTGAATCTTTCCCAGCCTTGTCACTCCGCTTGTTTTCACAGAATCTCAAGATCAAAGCATGCCCATCCAGAACAGTTCCCTGCCAAAGAAGAAAGTGTCACTGTACTTCATCAAGTCCAATCAACTTTAAGTTTCAAGAGACTTAACTATTATATACCTGTAAATCTCTGTAGACATTGGTGGCTGTCTCTACAGAGTCGAATTCTACAAAACCATAACCTCTCGAAAGATTCTTCCCATTCTTTACATGCTTTATTATCTGCTTATAATGGAAAATAAAAGATTACTAAAACAGACTCTCACAGTTAAAACATGTCAGTAATGAACAACAACTTACCTTGACACTGAGAATCTTTCCCTGCTTCACCAGTTTAGTCAAATGCTTCTTCAAACCATCATCAGTTGTCTTGAAGCTCAGATTCTTAACATGAAGGACATTTGACTGAAATATAATGCATTATTTAAAGGAAATGTTACGAACAGACCAATTCAAAAGATACATACGCAGCTTTCTCTGTCTACAAAATGGATCAGAAAACAAATATATCTATATACATAAATCTAATGAACAGAAATTTTATAGAACCTAACCTGAGACTTACAAGATAGTACTAAACCTGTATATAGCCTCACGAGGTAAGACTAAAATCAAATTTAGTTTCCTAAGCTAATCAAGATTTTCTCAACTACCTTTCAGTTCTGATAGCTAGTATCCACTCAAACAGAAAAAAACATATGATTTCATAACGTTCACAGCTACAATAACTGGAAATACCTCAGTTACATCTGGATCGATTTCAACCTGCTGCTCCAAGTTGACTCTTCTCACGCCATTTTCTTCAACATCACTCTTCTCTTCATTGTTGTCAGGAAGAGTTTTTGGCTCAAGAATATTTCCAGGAGCCCACTCCAGATACAAGGGAGCATCTCTGTAATAATAGGAAAATGTGATGAAGCAGTTTGGTTTGAACTAACATGATCATTTATCTCCAAGAAGCACTTTAGGGAAAGACAAACGGATTTTACATTTTAGACATTTATACAGAAGTTGTTCTTCCCCTCTTGATTTAATAAACATTAAAGTTAATTTTGAAGCTTACTTGTAACGCTTGTATGACATTCCCTTAAGAGCTGCGCGTGCCTCAGCCGGCTCAAGAAACACAACCTGAAGGTCATGTAATTAAGGGCAGGTTAGAGAGCAATTAACTATTGGTCCAATATATTCAAGTAGCACACATGGAAATAATAGTACCAAGGCCATCGTCTTCGTCGGAGGGAGGATAATTTTGTCTAGACTTCCAAATTTTCCAAACATTTGAGCCAGTTCCTTTTCAGTGGAAGCAAATGGCAAATTCTTTACTAAGAGGATATGTTTGCTTCGGTTATTCTCATCACCATTCCTTGTAGCAAATTCTTCCAAAGAAGTAACATTTACTCCAGCTTTAGCAAGGGCTTCTTTGGTCTCCGCAATCACTTTTGTTTCTCCCAAAGCAAGGCGTACAGCAGGATCTTCAGCTTCACGGTCAAGTAGCTCACTCTTGCTTACACCATACACCCTGACTATGTTTTCTAGAATCTACAACACAAAAAGGAAAAGAAAACAAACATGAAGCAAGCTAAAAGCCAGATTTAAAAAACATTAGTGGATGCATTCTTTAAACAAGAAAAACTTACAGTATCGGGTCGCATGAATAAACTATTCCAAGCCTTTGTATTTCCACCAGCTTCAGATGCCTTTCTTTGTTCCTCTCTCTTTTGCTTGAAAGTTTTTGGCAGGTTAGAAGTGTCATTCCTGTTGAGAAATGCCATGTTAAACAACTAACGGAAAATCTAGTCCACAAAAATATTACAAGTTAGAAGACCGAAACTTAGAAAGGGTAGGCCACTGACACTTGTTTATCAGAAGTTTCACGGTGCTTGGCTGGCAAAACATGCAACAACCGGCCCTGAAAACTTGAGTTATCTAATTCCTCCATTGCCCTGCATCACCATCAAATGTTTTAAAACCTGAACTAACAGCTAGAGATCAACACAAGGCTACTTCTTGCAAAGCATGCACTTAGACCAAGGGGTAACCAGCAGCAATAAAACAACTTTTGGACATGAATAATACCTTGCCGCACATTCCGGAATCGGGTAAAGGATGTAGGCAATTCCCCTGGACCTTTTTGTCTCCTTGTCAAGAACAAGATGGACTTCTGATATTTCACCAAATTTGCTAAAATGTTCCATAAGCTCTTCTTCTCTATTGTATGAGATTATTGACAACAATCAGAGATGTATAAGATGAATAACAGAAAGATAAACAGAAATCAGGAGTATAAAAAGAACAGAAGATGAACAAGAAGATCTAGTACGTTGCAGTGTAAGGCAGGTTACGGACAAAAAGGCGACCAGTGTCCAGAACATCATCACTGTCAGCTTTCAATTCTTGAGCCACCTTGCCATCGGCTTCTACTTCCATGGTATCGCCATCATCATCTTTATCAACTCCGCCAGCTTCAACATCGCCATCAATAGGAAAATTACGAATATCAGCATCATGACCATCTGCCTCAGCTTTACCATCATCATCACTAGCTTCATCTTCACTACTATCCTCAGATTCATTATCACTGTCCGAATCCGACAGATTTTTCTTAATCCTACTCTTGAAGTATTCCATATCAGAAACATCATCGCTGGCAGCAACAACTTTGCTCTTTTTAGTCTTTTCGGTATCAGATGACCTTTTAGCGTTGTTAGGCTCAGCACCATTGAAAATCATTGGCTCATCCGCTTTCTTCACCAAGACCTTCTCTTTACCGGTTTCTTCAGGAGCAGGAGGAATGGACATGTCATTGGACCAGATTTTCGACTTACTCCTATCATGAACCTCAAGAAATTCTTGGAACTCAGGATCGTCAACCTCTGCTTTCTTCTTTTTACCTCCTTTAGCATTACCATTGTTTAAGACTTCAGTAGAAGATTTTTTACTGTTTTCATTAGCTTCCTCTTCTTTCTTGTGTGAAAGACGACTCCAGCGACGAGGAGCATTCTCATCTCCGACTTTATGAGCAATCTATAAGCCAAAGGAGAATGAATCTAAATTAGATTTCAAACTAGTACACAAGTGAAAACAGAGTGTCAAAGTTTAAAGTAGAAACCTCAACAAAAATACGAGAAGTATCAAGATAAGACTTGTTGAAATACTTAATAGCTTCTTGAGCTTCTTGGGCACTACGAAATCCAATAAAAGCAAATTGTCTACTCTTACCATCACTGCAAGCAACAAAGAAAACAGAGAGTGATTCAAATTAAACAATCAATAAAAGTACAAAATTTAGTTGTGAAAAACTGGAGTTGGATATAGTAGAAGAAGTATACTTGGAACGCATCAATTTGGCGTCAGTGATTTCTCCTTTCTGTGAAAAGACATCTCGAAGTCGATCCTCTTTCACATGTTTTGGCAAATTCTTAACGCATATCCTCGACCTGCAATTTTACAAAGCCCACAAAAAGAAGAAAATAACTTTTTTGGATTGGTTGATTTCTGCGAAACCTAAAGTCAAAACCCCTAAAGAAAGAAGTGTTTCTGGGAAACAAATACTTACATTCTTTGGCTTTGCAAGAGCTCGTTCTGGGGAAAAACTGTAGACTTTAAAAAGGGAATCCGAAACTATGAGAAAGAAAAAGATGACTTCTTTTGTTCTATTGAAATGTCTGTAATGACTACAGAGTGTCGGAACGATATGCTAACGATTTAATAATCTGCCGCCGACGACAAGAGAGAGCAAGGAGAAGAAGAAGAAGACGAGAGGGTTTTTAGGTCTTTTGTTGTTCCTTCTTTAGGTCGGCTTTAGATGTTTTTTTTTGTGTGTTGATAATGATTTAACCGAACCAAATCTAAATTTTGAGCAACTTAACCGAGTATACCAAAATTCGTTTCATTAATATTTTTCATCAAACAAATACATATTTACTTTTCTTTTAATTGTACATGTAATATGTGGGTTGATTAATGTTTCTACACCAAGAGGTCTGGGGTTCGAATCCCAGATATTGCGATTTATTAACAAATTTGCATATTAATGGAGGCAAGTGTGCAAGAGATCTTCAGCGATGTACAATTATAGCTGTTCGCCAGGATTCTACGCAGAGAAGGAATTGTCGCCAGGTCGTGGATCATTGAAGGTATTCATCAAGATCACGAAGAAGGAAGTGTAGTCTGTCGTGGATCTAGTAAGGGTCGGAAGGAATTGTCAGTTGTGGAATCGTCTATGTAACAGTTCTCATAATTTGCAATTAATAATAAATCTAGACGACAAAAAAAAAAATTGTACATTTAATATTTGATTGAAAATTCGAAACTAGCAATTTTTTACTTTTATTTTCTTATATCTTCGATAAAATTCCAAACTAAATCCAAATTGGACAAGACCAAAAGTTTAAACCGAACGAATTAATTCATACCCATTTATTTTTAAACCTGGAAAACTGGAAAGCAAAATGAAAAAGAAGTTTTGATTTGATTAATCGGTTTGCTCTTAATTTGACAACTAATCCGCCTGATTTTGTGGCTAACCGGATTGGTCACGAAGCTAACCGATACATTCAATTGGACAATCGGAACTAGGGGGCTACAAATGTGGACTTAATATAACACAAACCTTACCATAACAACTACATTGACTCAATTGGCCACTCTGTTTCCTATAGTTATATCAAAACATCCTCAGGCAATGACAAACCACAAAATATTGACTTGGCATAAATTAGTCAAAAAATTTTCTTTTTTTCCCGATATACAAAGGGAATGCAAACAAAGATCAAAATTATAGAGACCCTAAAGCCTACGGGAGGTCTCTGATGGATGGAAACCTGATTTAGTTTCTCAACTGTTGAATACAAGTGCCAAGAAAAAAAAAAAAAAAAGATAACGAACATTGTAACTACACGGGCTCATCATTTCGCATCATGGTTGGGAATTAAAGTTGCCAAATGTCTCTAATAGACCATGAGAAGGTTTTTATCATCTACCTCTCTTGGGAGTGTCTTCTTGGCTCTCGGTCACCATGACTATGACTACTTCCTCCTCGGTTTGTCTTGTGACCTTCTTCTACATTCTCACTGTTGTTGTGTCGCCTCTTTCCTTCTCCTAACTGTTTTTCACAAGGGCTTCCCATTTTTCTCTTCCGGCTAGGCACTGGCACTGTTGAAGAAACATCATCTACCATTTCACCTTCCTCGGTATTGACCACCAAGTTGTTTCCATCAAGAATCTCGCCGTGTTCTGTACCCATTTGATTGATTTTGGAGCTCTTGTTTTGTATATCTTTCTCATCCTCAACAGCTAATTCCACGTCTTCCAGTTCTCTTTCGATTAAATCATCCTCATCCACCAAGTCCTTTTTCCTCGTCTTTTCACCTTGGACCTTCTTAGCCTCTAGTTTGGCCTTCACCTTATCTCTAAGCAATTTAATGTCTTTTGGGGATTGGCTGACTGGGGTATCACCCGTACCAACAATTCTAGATTTATCATCTTCTAGGAAATGTGCACCTGCTTTCGCTGTTTTTTCCTCCCCAGATGCTTCAACTCCTGATCTAGACTTATGGGCTGGATGATTTTCAGTATGCATGCTATCTTTCGTTTCTATATCTCTTTCCCCCTTCTGCTCGGTAATGACACTACCTGCCTCACCACTCCCATTATCATTGCTCCGGTTTTGTGTAGCTTTTGAAGAGCCCCCATGATTATCAGAGTTTGAATGTTCATGAGTTGGACGTGCTGATATTGGCCTAGACCCAACATGATGAGCTGATCCTCCACCTACACTACTTTCGACTTCGCTTCCATGAGATGCAGGAACTCGGTTTTGCTCATAGAGCTCAAGCATTTGGTTGCTAACATCTGCAGTATACAAAAGGCAGTAGCTCTTAGCATCAGATCCAAAATAACGCATACAAGTCAAACAGAAAAAGTGGAAACAGTCTCATAAATCAATTCGAAGACAAAGATAGTTCTCTCACCCTCTAGTTGTCGAGGTGTGACATCAAATTCTTGCCACCAAACCTTCTCTCCATCTGATGGTAATTTCACTTTAAGGAACTTCGCAGCAAGAAAAATTGCTCCCGCTGCAATGTGGTGAGGCTTAAATTGCAGGCAGAGTGACGTCCGCAGACTGCAAGCATCTTTTCATTGTATGAAGACGAAAATACAAGACAGATAGATCTATCTGAAGCTTTTCAAGGAAACAGACTTTTAACGTACCCATCGTTAACAAAATTCCATGCAACTTGGGCCAGAGCATTCTGTGCGACCTTGAATTTCTTTATCGCTTCTACAAGAGGTTTATAAGGATGATAAACGTTGAAGTCAAACCCCAGCGTAGAAAGTACAATCTTTTCTCCACTTAGTATAAGCTCTTTTTGTTGCTCATATACTTCCTGCAAAAGTGTAATAAGTTCAGTACAAAGATAAATTATAGAGAAGGTAACACTACAGATGAGAGATCCAACGAAAAGGACAATAATCAGAGGAGGATTAAAAAAAAGCACAATTCTGGGGTTAGTACAAATTTCATGCCATCGTAAAATAGAATATGTGAGAAAAATGTGCAAATTCACGTATAACTAACTAACAGGAAGCAATAAAGGTTTAGTAGTATTCGGACCTTTTGCTTGATTTTCTGTGCAGTAGTAGGATCCTTCTTGTGTATTATCTCATAGGAGACAACAATAACATCTTTTAACGGCCTTGGAGTTTCTTCAACTTTTCCAGCAAGGAACATGCAGACTGTAGCAATCGTCTGGGTGTGGAGGGAGGACAACATGGAAAAAGGACTCAGTAATAATCTTAATACTGTTCTGCTCTAGTCTCTAGAAGGATAAATATGTACAAAGAACTAGATGCATTTATACCAAATAGACTAAGAGAACGCTTAATATATATCATGGCAGAAATCTTCGCAAGAAGTCAGTGTAAATTTATCTACTGCATCAGCTATTTTGCTTTCTATACATACAAAGGAAACTGGCAGAGAGATGGAAACAATGAATATAAACAGGCACCAAGGACAAGGAGCCATTTCAATGCTTCAAATTCATGCAAACAAGACACCAGCAGTCTGGCTCGAACAACAAATAGTAGGCCAATGTCTATAAGTATTCAACTATGTCATGTGCAAAAAAAAAATATACTTACCCTTCTGTCATTCCTAGCATGTGACTGGCGAATGAAGAATCGATGACAGAAGATTATTGCTGTAGCTATTGTAACCTGAGGACTGTATTAGAAAAATATATTAGCCGCGTTTACTGGTGGAGCCAAAAGTGAAAGCTATCAGTGCAGATGAAACCATGTCAATATGAAGATAATTCAGACCGAGTACTGAGTTCACTACTAGATACTAAATTTTGCAAAGCCATTAAAGGACTGACTATATAACTGATAACTCAAGATGAACTCACCAGTTTCATCTTTTTGTTGCCAATAACTCTGACTAGATTATTAATGCCTTAAATTACCTCTACCACATTAAATTCTATAAAATTTCAAAGCTTTGATCCTACAAAACCTACATGTAAAGGGATCACTATACTCTGTAAGAGAAATAGAGGCAATGATCATGGTTGGAGGATCTATCATGTCCAAGACCAAGCTCGCAAGAAGTAATCGAATGGAAAAAGCACCAAAATCTAGATATATATAACCAAAGATAACTCACCAGTTTCATCTTTTTGTTGGCAATAAATATGACTAGATTATTCATGCGCTAAATGACCTCTACAACATCAAGTTCTATAAATTTCAAAATTCGATCCTACGGAACTTATAGGTAAGGAGATCACTAATTCACTATAACACTAACAGATGCAATTATCATGGTTGGAGGCACTATCATGTCCTAGACCAAGCTCACAAGAAGTAATCAAATGGAAAATGCAACATATAAAGCTGAAATATATAGGTCAGAACATTTTACTTACACTTTTAATCTCATGCCTAAGTCCTGCAAAAATGTACAGTATGACTTGCGGAGGTATGTTTCCTTCTTTAAGTCAATACTATCCAACCTTGATGGTGAATTTTCTTCTATTTCTTTCCTTCCAAAATACCAGCGGGCAACCTCGTCCTGCTTTTCATTGGAATTCCTGGAGTAAGATGAAATGCCACTCTCACCGAATGAACAATCCCCAGCAGCTAATACTCCAGCCATTGGTATCTTTCACACACGGTCTAGCAAAAGCAGAACCAATGAAACAAATGTATGTCACTTCATAAGAGGAATCAGCTTGGTCTTTCAACTGGTACTGTAAGCTAGAAAGGGTATAAATCTAAGAGATGTGAGAAAAACTAATTTGCTTTTCCATGAGCTAAGGTTTATACCTGGTCAAATTGTGTTTCCAGCAACTGAAGTATGATACCTACTGGCAATAGGATCTTAATCTCTAGCGTCAAAACTTTATAGTTGAATATCAAATGTAAGCTCTTTAGGAATCTGAAAGAAAAGGAATCATCAACATAGTCAATGACAAAGAATTGAAATAAGAATTGAAATAAGAATTGAAAAATTACTGATTGATGGAAATACAAAAAAATGGCATCAAAACAAACACATTCACATATAGTCTAAATGAGTAAAAGGGGCTAACATATGCAACATAATAACAAGAATCATGAAAGAAAAAAAGAACATAATTGTTCCTTTCCCACGAAAATTCTGTGTATTGAGAATCATGTAAACGAGCTAGACCGACGCTGTTCATAACCAAGCTCACACATCCAGAAAAATACAATGAAATCGAAAATTTTGATTGCCAAAGAGCTAAATTAGAGATTATCGAGCAATTCTCCATGGAAATTAAAACTCTTTTCACAGATAACGCCGTCACAAACGAAGGGAAAAACATACAGTAGATCTGAAAGATGCAAAAGTTCGTGAAAATCTACCAAACCCGAAAAAAAACAAGAAACAAACGGAAAATAATACTCCTTATCGGAAACAAATAACAAAATCGATAATTACGCACCAGATTATGGCTTCTTCAATGGCGAATTGAAGCTAAACGCGTAGAACAGCTGCGTTCGTCGAACCCTAACCCTAGAGAAGAAACGCGAGAAAGGAAAGAACAAAACAAAACAAAAAAAGGGGATTTTTTAACGAATATACCGATTTACAAGTGATAGATGACCCAAAGTAGGAGGACTAAATCTTCTCGTTGAGATATTTGGGGAAAAAAGTGAAAACTTTTGAGAATTGAGGGACGAGAAAAAGGAAATATTTTGTTAGTGGAAACGTGACAATTTTAAATGGTTCCACTTTGATTAATTTGGCTCACGTTGTCAACCAAAATATTCAATACCGGTCTAATTCGATCATAAAAAAACTACAAAACACAGATTGTTAGCAAAAGTTATGACATTTTGGATTCAACATTGAAGATGACAGGAGGAAGAACTAACCTTGTTCCACTGTACATATTCCTAGTCTAGATGCAAAATATTCATATAATCATAATCATAAAAGCATCAATTCTTAAACTTCTACATATCATAGTTCTTCAAACCTTGATTCCACTACTTGACTCTGCATAATTATCTGTCCTCAGCTTCTTAAAAACTCTTTCTTCTACTTTCAAATCAGAGTTTGCAATTCCTCTACCAGCTTCTTCTTCATCCTTTTCTTCCGACTCTCTAACCTCTCTTTTAGAACCAACATTAACAGTCAGTGAAGAATCTCTATCACAAGAAGAAGCACCATTTGTGTTCTTGTTTGTTGCTTGCCATGTTTCCTCTTTCTCAGATGGTGTTTCCTTTTTCTCAGTTGCTGTTTTCTCTTTCTCAGTTGCCTTGAAATTCACACGGCAATTTCGACAAAGCACCGTCTTGTTAAGATAATAAACCCTAACATACTCGTATTGTGTCCCGCATTTGTTGCACATTGTCCAAAAAGTAGGAACTTTAGCAGTGGGCTTTTTGCTTCTGGCTCTACCATTAGTACTTGGCTGGTTTGGTGGTTGTTTGGGCTGGTTTGGTGGTTGTTCGGGCTGGTTTGGTGGTTGCTTCTGCTCGTTTGGTGGCTGTTTAGGCTGATTTGGTGGCTGCTTCTGCTGATTTGGCGGTTGTTTCTGCTGATTTGGTGGCTGTTTCGGCTGCTTTGGTGGTTTCTTTGGTGGTTGTTTCTGCTTTCGACTCCTTTTCGGTTTAACTTCATTTAACTTCCTTTTCTGATCATAAGCAATTCTCTTAACCTTATCAGATAACAAACACCAAGCAGCTAAAACAAGTTTAAACGCACCCTCTGCACCTTCACAGTTGTTCTTGTCAGGATGAAGCAAAAGAGCTAGCCTCTTATATTGTTTCTTGACTACTTCCTCATCAGCCAATGGATCAACACCAAGAATTCCATACCAATCAGATTCCCCTCCGATGATTTTGTTTCCTGCTGAGATATAAACATCGATCAACATCATAACTTGTCTTAAGCCATCAAGCTTCGGATACAAATCCTGAGCCTTGTTAGCAAAAAGTTTCGCCCCGTTGTAATCAGTCTCAGCAACTTTCCTCTTGGCAATATCCATTGCCCTTATCGCTTCCTCCTTGTTGCATTCCATATCTTTGCAGGACAAAGAATCCTTCAAACAATTTTGCACCTTGTCTCTACGGAAAATAAATCAGAGGAACCAAAAGAAAAAGGATTCAGAAGAATGATAAAACAGAAGCAAAACCGTAAATGCAAAACACTAAGTTCTTAGCCACAGATTTCTGAAGTTATTATACCTAAAGCCACAACATAATTACACACAATCAATCAAAAACAGAAGACGGATACACAAACTCATAAAGAGAAGAATCTCGTGTAAACTAAACACATCTTAAGAGTAAGTAACATCTTAATTCAACTCAAGGCAAAACAATACATGCAAATCACCAAGTCAAAAGAACAAGAACTTGGCCCTAGATTTCTCAAGTTCTGAATCTAAAGCAACAAAATAATCATACAAATTACAAAACAGATTAGAAGAAATCCGACAATACACAAAACCCATTAAAAAAAAAGAAACTTTTGGGATTCTCGTGCAAAGCAAAGCAAAATCATCTTACCAATAAGTGTAAAAGCCAGATTTTGATGGAGACCCACTTATTAACCCAGCGACATTTTAGTGCGATTGAATATCAGAATGCCCTAAACGGTGGAGAAGCGAAAGATAAAAGAAGCAAAGCCCGGTGTAGAAAAAAGTAATTTCTGACTCGAACCAAGAGGGTTTATTTCGATTTAATAAAAACAATTGGGGCAAACATAAAATATTTTGAGACTTTAGGGACGGAAAAGAGAAACTATTAGACAATTAGTTATTTACCTCTTTTTTCCCTCTCTCTCTCTTTCCCGCCTTCTTTTTTTTCCCTCTCTCTGACTTTCGTTTCGTCATTCTTTTACTAGTTTCAGTTTTACAAAAAACGATAAGTATAATTTGGTGATATATACTTCGTCCTAGACTACTAAGAAAGGATTAACCAGCCCCGGCTCAGATGGGTAAGGTGGAGGTGCGACGGTCCGGAGCTTTTTTTTATTAAAAAAATTTTACATAAAAAAAAAACCCAAATATTTTTTAAAAATATTATTAATATGAGAATTATATTTTAAGAGGCCTGATTATTTATAAAAAAATGTATAAAAAGGCCCAAAATTTTTAAAATAACAATTTTTACTATAAAAATTCCGCAAAATTTTTAAAAATTAAGTAAATTTTCTCTTTGTATATAATAATAGGCCAAAAAAAAAAAATTTTGCCCTAAGGCTCTCAAATATATTGAGCCGGGGCTGGGATTAACAATGCTAAAGTTTTCACAAAAAACTAGACTTTCTGGCGCACTATACGAAATGTAGAAATTTTGTTTATGTTAGCATTAGTTTCTTTGGCTAACATGCGATGTAAACAACATTTTTCCTTAAACAAAGAAAAAAGTGCATATGTTGTAACCAAAAAAAAAAAAACCAAATTAAATTCTTAAACACAAGTATTTTCCTAGTGTACAAGATAGATGTGAAGTCACTACTGCAAAATTTAATTAAAACAACAAACAAATAGAAGATGAAACAGAGTAATAACAGAGATATATCACGCTTATAATAATGGAGATTTCAATTCGTGATTCTGATCTAATTTACGTAAACATTACCTCATTTTATGTGACTTGTAATTTTCTTCTGTTTCCTACAAGTTCTTCTCACGTGCCAAGGACAGAACATTCTTATTCTTCCTTGTATAAACTTGTCTTGGCATGTCAATTTCATTATTTTTCAGCTTGGAAACGTGACATACTGTAATTGGTGATTAGTGGAGCCACTTTGATTAATTACCTTCTCTAATTACAAAGATTACAAAAAAATTCCCGGAAAGATTAAAAAAAAAAAAAAAAAAATCAACTTGTGATGTCTTCTTATTTCACGTTCGTCATCGGGTTCTTGAAAAGCCTGTCTGCTTCCTGAGTAGAGTTTGCATTTCCTGTTTTCATTGGGTTCTTGAAAAGCCTCTCTGCTTCCTGAGTAGAGTTTGCATTTCCTGTTTTCATTGGGTTCTTGAAAAGCCTCTCTGCTTCATGAGTAGAGTTTCCATGTCCACTTGTCATCGGGTTCTTGAAAAGCCTCTCTGCTTCATGAGTAGAGTTTCCATGTCCACTTGTCATCGGGTTCTTGAAAAGCCTCTCTGCTTCATGAGTAGAGTTTCCATGTCCACTTGTCATCGGGTTCTTGAAAAGCCTCTCTGCTTCATGAGTAGAGTTTGCATCTCCACTTGTCTTCGTATTCTTGTAAAGCCTTTCCTCTTCAAAAGTAGATTTTTTCATCGGTTTCTTGGAAAGTCTGTCTGCTTCATGTGTAGTAGAGTTTGCATTTCCTCTAGCAACAGCAGCAGCAAGCTTTTCCCGGTACTCCTCAAACCATGTTTTCACTCTTTCTTGTCCTTGATTTGCAGCCTTTGTGCTATCAGATGCTGAAGTTGTTGAAGAAGAACCATTTGTGTTCTTGTTTGTTGCTTGGGGTGTTTTCTTTTTCTCAGTTGCCATAAAATTCCCAAGGCAAGTTCGACAAAGCTTGGTCTTGTTAAAGTCATAAAACCTCACATACACATATTGTGTCCTGCATTTGTGGCACATTGGCCTAAGGGTACTGTCCTTACAAGTGGGCTTATTGCTTGTAGCTGAACCATTTCGAAATCCATTAGAACTTGGCTGGTTTGGTGGTTGTTGCTTCTGGTTTGATGGTTGTTGTTTCTGGTTTGGTGATTGTGTTTGTTGGTTTGATTGTTGTTTCTGCTGGTTCTCTGGTTGTTTTGGCTGGTTTGGTGACTGTTTTGGCTGGTTTGTTGGTTGTTTATGTTGGTTTGGTGGCTGTTTCGGCTGGTTTGATGGTTGTTTCTGCTGGTTTGGTGTATGATTCTGTTGGTTTGGTGGTTGTTTCGGTGGCGGGTTTGGTGGCTGTTTCGGCTGGTTTGGTGGTTGTTTCTGCTGGTTCGGTGGCTGTTTCGGCTGGTTTGGTGGTTGCTTCTGCTGGTTTGGTGTCTGATTCTGCTGATTTGGTGGCTGTGTCTGTTTAACTTCTTTCGACTTCCTCCTCTGATCATAAGCAGTTCTCTTAATATTATCTGATAATAAAGACCAAGCGGCTAAAACCAGCTTAAACGCACCTTCAGCGCCTTCACAACTATTCTTATCAGGATGAAGCAAAAGAGCTAACTTCTTGTATTGTTTCTTCAGTGATTCCTTATCAGCCAATGGATCAACACCAAGAATTCCATACCAATCAAACTCTCCTCCGCTGATTTTGTTTCCTGCCGAGATATACACATCGATCAACTTAGACACTTGTTTCAAACCATCAAGCTGTGGATATAACTTTTGAGCCTTGTTAGCAAATTTCTTCGCCTCGTTGTAATTATGTTCTGTAACTTTCCTCTTAGCAATATCCATTGCTCTTGTAGCTTCATCCTTGTTGCATTCCATGTCTTCGTAGATCAGAGAAAAGAAAAAAAATGGTTCATAAGAATATAAACAGAAGCAAAAACTACACTTATGCAAATCACTAAGTTAAAAGAACAAGTCCCTATCCACAGATTTCTGAAGTTGCTGTTTCTGAAAGCCACAAAATAATCTCAAACGATTACAAACAAGTGTGTAGCAATCTGAATGAAAACAAAAAATATAAGAATCTCTGGAAAATCTTACGAGTAAGTAAAGATCTTAAATTCAACTAGGCAAAACCATACGTGCATGCAAATCACAGAGTTAAAAAGAACAAGTCCTTACCCCAACATTTATGAAGTTATTTTACCAAAAAAAATAAGATTTATCAAGTTAATAAACCTAAAGCCACAAATATATCATACAAGACTAGAAACAGAATTTGCAGAAAGCCAGCTGAATATAATAAAAACGATGAAAAGAAGAATCTTTGGGATTAATATCGTGCAAAGCAAAATCGTCTTACCAATAAGTAAAATCCAGATTTTAATGGAGACCTAATTTTATTAATTAACCTGCAAAATTTAGTTAGGGTTATCATATATGAAACTCTTAAAAAAGAACAAAAATCAAAAAACAAGATTTGCAAAATTTCTAGTACGATTGAATATCATCATTACCCTAAACGATAGAGAATCGAAAAACGTAAGATGAAGAGCTCGGTATTAAAAAAAAGTAATTTATATGATCCGAAGCAAGAAGAGATTAACTTTCATTCCATAATCAATTGGTTGTTTTATTTTTTTGTGTATCCTTTTTCCATACCAAAGAAAAAAACTTTAAAAACAATTGGGCCAAAATAAAATGTCAAAAAAAACATTTAAAAACAATTGGGCCAAAATAAAATGTTGTAAGTCTTGCGGGGTGGAAAAGGAGACTGTTAGTATTTACGTGACACACTTATAAAGGAAATTGCACTATGATACTTCATCATACTCTTTCCGGTGCTATATATAGCCCTCTAAATAGTCTTATGCCTCTCTTCATGCATACTTGATTTTTTCTAACGCCTTTTGATGAATTCAATTTTATTTATTCTAGTTTCAAATTCAATCATCACATTATCATTTGTTACTTTGAATTCCTTACCTTTAGAGTTCTGAGTTACAAAAACAATAAGTATAGTCTAGTGACTGATAGTATATTAGTTAGTATTCTCAGTTTTTCGATCGTGACACAATTGTTGATAAGTTACAAAAACAATATGGAAACGTGACACAATTGTTGATAAGTGTGGAGTCACTTTGATTAATTTACCTTCATCTGACTAGAAAGATTACAAAAAAAAAAGTTCCATATAAAAAGCAGGATTCTTCAACTTCTAAATGTGATTGTCTTAGTTCTTGTTTTCACATTTGTCATCGGCTCTTGTAAAGCCTCTCTGCTTCATGAGTAGAGTTTTGCATCTCCACTTGTCTTCAGGTTCTTGAAAAGCCTCTCTGCTTCATGAGTAGAGTTTGCATCTCCACTTGTCTTTGGATTCTTGGAAACCCTTTCTTCTTCAAAAGTAGAGTTTTTCATCGGTTTCTTGAAAAGTCTCTCTGCTTCAAAAGTAGTAGAGTTTGCATTTCCTCTAGCAGCAGCTGCAACAGCAGCAGCAAGCTTTTCTCGGTACTCCTCAAACCATGATTTCCTTCTTTCTTGTGCTTGATTTTCATCCTTTGCCCTATCGGATGCTGAAGTTGTAGAAGAAGCATCACTTGTGCTTTTAGATGTTGAAGAAGAAGCATCACTTGCTCTTTTTCTTGCAAACTGAAAATTGCTACTCAATCTGATGCTTTGCCTCCCATGGACCATCTCTGGATTTATCTCGGTCGCAACGAAATCCTGACCGCAGTTTTGACAGGGCAAGGTCTTGTTAAGATAAAATTTCCTTGCATATTCAAAACATGTCTCGCATCTATTGCACACTGTCCAAAAGATAGTGACATTCTCTCGTTTCCCTGAAGAATCAGGCTCGTGTGGCTTTGGTGGTGGTTTCTGCATTCCACTCTTGTTCTGTTTAACTTGGTCCGATTTCCTCTTTTGATCATAAGCAGTTCTCTTAGCTTTATCAGATAACAAACACCAAGCTTCTAAAACCAGTTTAAATGCGCCTTCAGCACCATTAAACATGTTCTTGTCCGGATGAAGCAAAAGAGCTAACTTCTTGTATTGTTTCTTCACAGCTTCATCATCAGCTAAAGGATCCACACCGAGAATTCCATACCAATCAGCTTCTCCTCCTTCTCTGTTTGATGCAGAGACATAAACATCAACCATCATCAACACTTGTTTCAAACCATCGAGGTTTGGATACAAACGTTGAGCCTTGTCAACGAATTTCTTAGCACCATCGTAATCATTCTCTGATATTTTCTTCTCGGCAATATACATCGCTCTTCTAGCTTCTTCCTTATTACATTCCATGTCTTTGACAGAGTTTCCTTAAACAATAGGAAAAGCAAAATAAATAAAAAATCCAGAGAATTGTTTAATTTAACAAGACCCTAGATTCTGAATAGAGTGGGGAAGACTCATAAGTTACATGTCAGAGCGATTGTGGTATAAATAATTACAAAAGAAGATTGATTTCTAATTATATGAAGACTAGGGCTAGTCCAGCGTATATTACACGCAACGCTTATCTTTTTCTTTTTTCTACAGTTGTACAGAAAAAACAAAAAGGAAATTTTATTATTTAGCGGAGTAAAAACTAAAAAGGAAAATATTAGCTCGGTGATTTTGTAAATATTGTTTTAAACTTGAGTAATACTGATTTCATGATAAAAATTTGAAAAAACGATTTAACCTGATATTCTTAAAATTGTTTAACTAGATACTAATTTTGTGATAAGAAAAATTCACTAGTAAATATTTTTTGAGATGTAAGATTTGAGAGTCAAAACCAATAACACATACAATATCAGTTCTGGTAAAAGTGTAATCGAATAAATTGGAGCATATATTGACGATGAAAGGAAAACTTGCTTTTGTTCCACCATATATTTATTTTAAGTCTAAAGATGAAAAAGTATTCATAAAGCTTTGTCTAAAAAAAAAAAAAAAAGACATGTCATAAAGCATCCTCTCTGCAGCAGCAATCATTTCTGGAGACTCCTCAAGTCCTCTTTTCGATATTTCGTGTGCTTGATTTGCAGCATTACCGCTTTGACGACTAGCCTCACAAAACTTGCTTGTGGAGTTTTCTCGGTTGCACTAGTAAATGGTGAAGAAGTACCATTTGTATTATTGTTTGTTGCTTGATTTTGGGTACTTGCTTGGAGTTGTCCCGTTGCACTAACAGATGATGATGATTGATGAATTTCTCTGAGAAGGAGCTCCATTGGTGTTTTTTATTTGGTGCTTTATTTTTGGGCACTTCATTGTCGTTGTTTTTGAGGAGTCAATGATGAGAGGTTCACTGGCCTCACAATACTTGCCTTGTAGAAAATATTTCACAATGAGATACTAAGGCTTTGAATGGTTGTATAGTCTGCTGCAGATCGGACTAAAATCGGATCAGTCCGCACTTAATTTACCATTCACTATTCCTGACTAGTATGCACTGTTGCATACTAAAAATCTCTATACTAATATGCACTTCTACATACTTCTTCATACCATCATAAATTCACTGTTAGTCCGGATTTTTTCATTCCACTCTCCAAAAGCTCCATACCAACATACAATTGTTTGCTCCATACTACTGTCCGACATTTTGCATACTAAAATATTGGTATGCATTGTCCGGTCTGCAACATACCTACTAACTATTCAAGGCCTAATTGTCTCTTCTTTTTACTTACCCTAGTGTACAAGGATATAGATGATAAAGTCACCACTGCAAAACTTATTTTTTTTTAAATGAGTAGAAGATGAAACAGAGTAATAAGAGAGACATATCAGGCTTGAGTTGATAGAGGCTTATAATAGTAGAGACTGCACTATGTGATTCTTACTAAACTATACAGGCCTGCAATATTTACCATTACGTAGTTTTAATACTTACTCTTATCCAACTCAATCTTAGAACAGGAGAATCCGATTTTCCGATCTTATGTAGAACGTTTTACATTTTGATACCCCATTCTTTCATCAACCTTTGGAACAAAGAAACTCACGCAAAAGAAAAATTAGACAGCAAAGCAGGTAACAATGCCGTGGAGATAAAATAATTCGTCAGTGTTACTTATAGGTCAAGAAATGAAAGAAGAAAGATGTATTAATCTCTTACGTACCTTCATAGTAAAGAGAAGTGTCTCCATTTCTGTTCTTTGATTTGTAGTACTGTAAATCCAAGTTTCATAAGGTCAAATTAAAAACTATTACTGATCCAAAAATAGAATAGAAAACAGATATAAACTTTTAAATGCTCATGTCTTACTTGTTAAAAAGCCTCTATGCTTCGTTTGCATTTCCTCTAGCAGCAATAATATGAACAATTTCTTCTCGCGACTCTCTATCTTGTGCTTGATTTTCACTATCAGATGCTGAAGTTTTCGAAGAAGAAGAATAAGCATCACTTGAGCTTTCTCTTGTTGATTGAAAATAGGCACTAAAGCTATAGACTGGCCTCCCATCTACCATCTCTGGAATAATCTCGGTCGCAACGAATTCCTGACGACAGTTTGGACAACGCAAGATCTTGTTAAGATAAATAGACTTCACAAATTCACAATGTGTATTGCACCTATTGTTTTTGCACCTTGTCCAAAAGGTAATGAGTTCCTCCGGATTCCATAGATTCTCCTCTTTCCATGAAGAATCAGGATCAGGATCAGGCTCAGGCTCGGACTCAGACTCAGATTCACACCAGTACTTGTATTTGTGTTGCTTTGGTGGATCTCTGCTCCTTTTCCGTTTAGGATGTTTCGCTTTCCTTCTATGATCATACAAAATTCTCTTAGTTTGATCAGATAATAGACACCAAGCTTCTAAAACAAGCTTAAATGCTCCTTCCGCGCCATTAAACTTGTTCTTGTCCGGATGAAGCAAAAAAGCTAACTTCTTGTATTGTTTCTTCACAGCTTCATCATCAGCTAAAGGATCTACACCGAGAATCCCGTACCAATCAGATTCTCTGTTGATTTTGTTTGATGAAGAGATATAAACATCAATCATCATCAACACTTGTTCCAAACCGTCGAGCTTTGGATACAAATCCTGAGCCTTGCTAATGAATGTTTTAGCTCCATCGTAATCATTCTCCCAAAGTTTCTTCTCGGCAATATCCATTGCTATCTTGGCTTCTTCCTCGTTAGATTTCATGTCGTTTACTTTCTTCTCTACAAAAGTCAAAAAACAAATCGGAAAAAACAAATCAGAGACAGAATTATTGAAGCAATTCGGTGGATATAACAAAATTCATGAAAGAAGACACTTTGCAAAATCTAATGCCAAAGCAGAAACTTCTTATGATAAGAATCTTATCGAACCCAAAAAAAAACCTAGAGACGACGCAAGAAACAAAAGAAGAGGATAAGGGAAAAATATTGAATAGGACTTGCAATACAAGCAAGAGCTAGCGAACGCTTGGTATTTGATGATATATATAAAAAAAAATTATTATCCTTTTACGAAAAGGATATTGATATTAGGCATGTAACGGATCCGGATATCCGGCTTTTTTGGACTATCCGAATGCGGATCTGGATCCGCCGGATTTATGGAAATACTATCCGGATCCGGATCTGTGACTACCGGATATCCGGATCCCGGATACCCGTGCAAAAAACCAGATATCCGCGGATATCCGGATCCGGTTCTTTCTTCTCGGAAAATCATATTATTCCTTTACGCTTTCTTCGATTTCGCCGCCGTGTCTCACCTTTCCTCAACTCACACTCTCTCTTTTAACATGTGTTATATTACGGATACCGGATATCCGGTCTAAAAAATTTGTATTATCTGGATCCGGATCCGAAAATTTACTATCTGGATCCGGACCACCCGGATATCCGGTTTTACGGATCGGATCCCGGATTGGATAACGAATATCCGCGGATCCCGGATATTTATCCGAGGCCTAATTGATATCACGCAATGCTTATTTTCTGTGTTAAAATAAATGTTTCAAAATTAATGAATTAAAAAATAAAAAAAAAATTACGTCAAGTTTAACTTCAATACCAAAATTAAGACCTTTACTCTGCTTTCAATTGCACATAGCATATTGACAACACCTTTAACCAACATCAATGCTTTTACTTTAAAAAGTGCAGTGTAGACCTATATATGTTTGAGAACCGATTGATCCAAAACATTATTAGTATTTTTTAAGTTAAAAAAAAAAAGAAGCTGTATCAGTTACTGTAAATCCAAGTTTCATAAGATCAAATAAAAAACTATTACTGACGCAAAAAACAAGAGAAAAAAGATATGGAATTCTACTTCCTCATGTCTTACTTATTATTTTCGCATCTGTCATAGGTTACTTGAAAAGCCTCTATGCTTCGAGAGAGTAGAGTTTGCATTTCTGTTGTCATCTTGTTGTAAAAAGCCTCTACGCTTCGTTTGCATTTCCTCTAGCAGCAGGTGAAGCATTAGCAGGAACAATCTCTTCTTGTGACTCTCTATCTTGTTCTTGATTTGCGCTATCAGAAGCTGAAGTTGTAGAAGAAGAAGCATCACTTGTGCTTTTGCTTGTTGGTTGAAATTTAGCACTAAAGCTGTAAACTGGCCTCCCATTGATCATCTCTGGAATTACCTCTGTCGCAACAAATTCTTGACGGCAGTTTGGACAATGCAAGGTCTTGTTAAGATAACCAGCCTTCCCTAATTTACAATGTGTGTTGCACTTATTGTTTTTGCACACTGTCCAAAAGGTAATGACTTCCTTCGGTTTGCGTGGTTTCTTCTGTTTCCATGAAGAATCAGGTTCAGGCTCAGACTCACACTCGTACTCGTATGGCTTATGCATTCTGCTCCTTTTCCTTTTAACTTGTTTTGGTTTCCTCTTTTGATCATAAGCAGTTCTCTTATCTTTGTCAGATAATAAATCCCAAGCTTGTAGAACAAGCTTAAACGCGCCTTCCGCGCCGTTAAACCTGTTCTTGTCCGGATGGAGCAAAAGAGCTAACTTCTTGTACTGTTTCTTCACAGCTTCATCATCAGCTAAAGGATCTACACTAAGAATTCCATACCAGTTAGCTTCTCCGTTGATCTTGTTTGTTGCAGAGATATAAACATCAATCATCATCAACACTTGTTCCAAACCATCAAGCTTTGGATACAAAGCCTGAGCCTTGCTAATGAATTTTTTAGCTCCATCGTAATCATTCTCCGAAAGTTTCTTCTCGGCAATATCCATTGCTTTTTTGGCTTCTTCCTCGTTAGATGTCATGTCGTTTCTCTACAAAAACAAATTGACAAAAAAATCAGAAACAGAGTTATTGAAGCAATCAGGTGAATATAACAAAATTCATGAACGAAGAAATTTTGCAAAGTCTCTGATGTTTATGCAGATCAAATGAAACCCTAGAGACGAGACGACGAGAGAAACGAAAGAAGAGGAGAAGATATAAAAGTAATAGGGCTTGCAATACAAGCAATTGGTAATTGATGAACCCTATAAGTAATTTCTTTCTTAAATTTCTTAAAGCGTGAGGTTTTCCCTTTTTGTTTTAAAGATATCTCTTTAAAATACTCCAAAATCTTATAAATTTAATATTGTAATAAATCTTATCAAATCACCAATAATGTTTTTTTTTTAAATAAATTAAACCTAATTAATCAACCAAATATCCTTAAAAATTAAAATCCAAAGATATTTGTAGTGAGATTAGGAAGCTAATAACTATAAAATATGCATAGATAAGATTATATCTGTATGATATACTTTTAAAATTCTTTCAAAAATATTTAAAGGCATATGATATCCTGTAATGTATAAATATAATCAAACTAATTATTTTTCTCCAAAACATTACCTTTTTCATGTATAGTAGATGTGTCAAAATTGATGGACCAAAAAAGGAAATTTCTTCAAACAAAATATAAATTCCATCAGGAATTGGAGTAAAAAAAAGAGAAATTGTTAAAAATGCCCCTTTTTCAATACTCCTTTTCAAAAATGCCCCATTTGAGAGTCCATTTTTAAGTTTGCCCTCTTTTAATTTTTAATGACCATTTTACCCATATTTGAAACAAAATTAGGTCCACAAAATACAAAATATTTTTTGGCGGAAAAAGTGATCCCGCAATTTTCCCGCCAAAACACTTGTAAAAACCTTTAAAATACCTAGTAAAATTTTTCCCGCCAAAAAAATTTTTTTGCGGGAAAACTGATTCCGCAATTTTTTTGGCAAAAATTTTTGGCGGAAAAAATTTACAAGGTATTTTAAAGGTTTTACGGAGTATTTACAAGTGTTTTGTAAGGTTTTACAATGTATTTTAAAAGGTTTTACAAGGTACTTATAAGGTTTTATAAGATATTTTTAACTTGTAAAACCTTATAACTTGTAAAACCTTATAAAATAGTTTGTAAAATCTTATAATATCTTATAAATAGAAGAACTCGCGGGTGCGTCTCTAATCTTCCATTAAG